AAAAAACTTCAGTGGAAACTTTAAACTCAAATAAAATTTCTAACAATTTTGAATAATGATCCCAATTTCTAAGGTTCAATTCATGAAGAATCCTCCAATGCCTTAGGTTCAATTCATAACGATCCAAAAGTAATTTATTCTCCATAAAAAAATGTACATAATTGAGCTTTAAACTTTTTAGTAGACTTTAATAAATTATATGTTGAATTCCATTTATGAGGGACGTCCTTGATGAATCATTTGGAGTTGTTTTTTCCTTTTTCAGTACACATATTTCTCCATTGGTTGATTACCTTTGGACATGCCCACAAAAGTTTAACCGCTGTTTTTATAGGGTAAATAATTTAAAATCTTTTTAAACCTTCTTAACAATTAAATTTAAAATATGACATGCACATCTAATATGAAAAAGTACTCTACATGAGTCTGGCTTGTAAATATCTTTTAAACCTTCAATTGAATCAGTTTTATTCACAACAATATCGAATTCAACTGAAGAAATCTTTTTTTTTTTTTTGATAAATATCAGTTTTATTCAAAACAATTTTTATAAAACCAACTATATCTTATGAAATAATGAGTGAATATTTTGTTTTTTTTTTATTTTTACGGTTGTCATTATCACGGTCAATCATAGTTGCACCATCACCGTATTGATAGTCATAATGTACATCCACATTAGTCGATTCTCCTTCTCTACCAAGGCCAACAATTTGAGAAATATCAAAAAAATAATCTTGTAAATTTTTCTTAGAGTATGAAAATAGAAACAAAAAAGAGGGGGGAGAGAGAGAAAAAAACTTTCCTTTTTGAGGTAGAGTAATAAAAAACAGTTTAAAATATTGGAACCGATGGCTAAAAGGCCAAATAGATTTGTTCTTGTTGTTGTGAAGTTTTAGCATTTTGGTTGCATCAATTACAGAGTCGATAGAATCACTACCACCAAAAGCTAAGACCTCACGAGATAATTCTTTTTGCTCAACTGTTTTTTCATTCTCGTCTAATCCAGCAGATATCTTGCACAGAAACCACCGGACAAGTGCCACAAGATGTGCATTCAGATCCAGTTCAATATGCATATCCAAGGCCTTCAAACAATATGGTAATGCTTCCTTGTAATTCTAAATATATAAATATAATTTTGCTACAATCATATAACTAAAATGTCTAGGATCTTCTACCAACACACTGTCTCTTATCTCTAGTGACTTCCTATAATGATCTGTAGCCTCCTCTATCGTCTCCATTCGCAACTTAGTAATACATGATACAACCTAAATTTTACGAATAAGTCTCCAAACATTATGAGATTCCTCCACAGTATCTAAAATCCTAAGTGCTCTATTCTGGCACTCCAAACCATCATTAATCCTAATCAAATCAAGGTACACATAACTCAACACATTCGCAGCAAGTTTAAAAGAGAGTTTCTATCATCAATACCGAAGAGGTAGACAACCGTCTTAGCAAAAAGTAGAGCCTTCTTGCTAAATAATCTGTTGTTAAACTTTAATCCCCAAATGATTACATGTTGTCGATATATATTCTTCATCACCAATGATTCCCTCCAGGTCCTCCAATATATTCATATTCTTAGCACTCGTTTTTGCACTTTCAAAATTTCTCATAAGCTTTTATTTGATTTCATAAGAATCATTCACCTTAGTAAATAAATTTCAGGATAAAAATCCACTTTTTATGAAATGAGACCGAAAAAGTAGGGAAGTTCATCTTGAGTTTTCTTGTCCTTAAGGGAAAAAAACTCGTCAACATGTACTTACTCCAGCCTATCTAACATTGAAGTTAATTATCTAAAATTGAAAACTAACATTCGATTACCAATTTGAGGAAAATGCTTTCCACATCATTGTGGTATGTGAGTTGGAAGCCTTTTTAAATGTTGTTTTTCAATAACAGCATATTGGATCTTTCCCCTCCTTGAAGAAGGCATAACTTGTAGTCTTTTTTTTTTTTTTTATTATATGTCATTTTAGGGTTTGATGGATTTTTTAAAATATATATATTTTTTCACAAATCAAGGCACATTTGACCATTTTTTTCAACATTGCCCCTGCATTGGAAATAGAACACTGTTGATCAAGAATTTTTATTGGTTTGTGATGAGTTGTCTAAACCATAAATAAGCGTGTTTGTATTTTAACTGCATTAATTACTATTTCCTAATTTGATAAAATTCTCTAGAAAGACATGTAAAAAGAATGAAGGGATTATTAGGTTGTGGGGATAGCTACGTATGACCATATCTACAAAGTCACCTACTATAACTTACACATTATAAATATAAGAAAAAATAGAAATGAAAAGAGCAACATGCCTTCAGATTAAGTAGAAAGCCAGGTGAAGTATTGCATTATCTGTTATTGCCACTATTAGGCAATTTTCTCCTTTTTGTCTTATTTACTTCTGCTTATATAGGTTACTCAGAGTTTTCAAAATTTTTTCAAATATCACACGACCCCATGGAAGTTTATTAAAAAATTTCAAATCACCAACCAATCGCACATATTCACTTACAATATAGGGAAACAAATAGGTTATTTTTGAAATTTTGGAATCTTATTTAGATAATAAGTTTTATTCAATTGTTAAGGTAATGATACAGATTTTCTTTTAAAAAAATATACCTCAATGGACCCTACATACAAATGTTTTTTAAAAAATATATTCCTTACATATCACAACGGGGAATCATTCCCAGACTTTAAAGAGATTCGCTTAGAGTCTTATCACCACGCTAACAATTTATTCACAAATGATAAAACAAATTTAATTAATGTGTAACTGTTAAATGGTATTTAGTTAGTTTAACTATGGTATGAGTTCAAATGTTGGAATATGCATGCAATAACTATCAAAAAAATTATTTTGTCTCTTAGAAAAGATATGCTTGGCTTAATATGAATTATTTGTGATATGTAATAGGTTTACATCTTGAAGAAATTTATCCGATTTGGATTTAGATTAGTTGGATTGGTGTTAGCCACCATATATGTAATGTACCTCCCAAAAATGACAATGACATTAATTTTTTAGACATAAAAATCAGTAGTTTTGCATCATAATATAGACGTATCTTACTTAAATTCAGATTAGCTAGGAACAATGATTTTAGACACCTATACGTCAAACAAAAAGTTGATGAGGTATATTATGCAACTATTTATGTTTGTGGATCTTTAGATTGCTAGGAGTGTTTTGGCAACTTATATACTGATTTTGTGGGTTGTACAACAGTCATCTACAAGTTGATTTTGTGGCAAACAAATTTTGTAAACAGATAATGTGTTGATTTTTTATCAGATTTTTTTATAGTAATGTTATTTGATTGGATGGCTGAATATTTTGCAAGAGAATAAAAAAGATAAAGAGTAAAGTAGACTGGTAAAACGGTATAATCTAAATGTTTTCTGGGAAAAAAATATTTATTCTTCTTTTTCTTAACAATATTAAATATTCATGAATTTAATTAGATATAAACATGTGATGAAATATTTGTTTAATGCAAGAATGGAAAATCAAAATGAAAACAAAAAACATGAAATCTTAATTTAGCGAAACAATCTTGCAATGTTTGGCATAGTATCCAACACTGAACACCGATTTCTTAAAGCACCATAGATTGCATTCTTCTTCGTTCCTTTGTAGTAAATAGTACTCCATCAGAAGTTGTCTTATCGATCGGCACCAATTTTGAGGTATATTGGTCCAACTTCAGGAACGATGTTATCCATCTAGTTCTTGAAACCTTCTTCAAAACATATCTCGTGCACTTTTTGTTACTTCCAATTACCGATATCAGCTTCAAGGTGGTTATGCCTCTCTACATTTTTGCATCCTCTACTAATGTGGGAGCAGTGTTGATGCATTCTTTTATATTATATTCTTTGGTCCATCTTTTGTTTATATATGAATTTGAAATGTAAACAACCATGTTAGTATTCATGACTCGTAAACAATGACCGCACAAAATACCGGCCTCGGTGAAAAGCTTGCATGTGCTAGAGATGTTTTTCATTTTTGTATTGAAGAAGACTCGATGTCCAAAAATTATTCAAACCTTCAGGTCGCGAGAGATGGCAAATAACGACTCCATTCACTAAAAGCCAACACTCCATCTGGTGTGCCATTCCGTCAAGCAATTGAATCTCAAAGTATTCGTAGGCTTGAGTTGTGTAAACCTCCCTTGCATGCGACAATAACAAATTTTTACACACCATCACATCTACACCACCCTGATAGCATCGAAAACCTTCTCCATTTTCATTGCTTCTCCATGGTGGGATGGTCGTTGACACCTCTAAAAGAAATAATAAGCTACTTAAAATTATTACCTAGTGGTAAGTATGGTCGATCCACAAAGACGATAGTGAACCACTTAAAATCTTATTAATGTGCAAGCAAAGAAAATAAACTGAACAGATTGTCACTTGGGAATGTGAGAATAATCACTTGACAGAGTGAGAAAGCAGAAGGAACATCCACCTTCCTGTCTATATGATCCAGTTGAGATTCATTTCAATTCTTGTTACATATGATTATTGTTTGATCAGGCACCTGTATTCTTTACCTTTCCCTTCGTTACAAGTAAAGAGGTCTAACATAACCAAATTACCTACCTCTCAGTGATAATTATTCATTATTCCGAGCAATTAAGTTCTTAAGCCTTATTGATCACCTATGTCAATCAACTAACTCTTATTGATGATTGAAACTAAAGAGCTTATGTCTCCTTTGTCATTTAAGCCGTTCTAAAACTATGTTCACCTTCTCAGGATTCTATAATTATGCATGCACAATTTGCTCGTTGATCAATCTAACTAAAAGGTTAATTAAAACACTTAAACTAAAAACAATGCCTCATATAAGAAACTGAATCAAAACCTTCATATATAGACAGTAGGGATTAGACCCTTAACTGAGTTTAGCTACTCATGTTTATTGAGCTAAACATGAGAGCAACAAAGTACAAAAGATTAAATATGATAATGAACAAAAGGTTAGAGGATAGAAGAGTAGTAGCAGGGCAGATTCTGTCTGCTCACGCGAGAAAGTGTACTTCGTCATTTGCCCGAGTGACAGTCTGCACTCTTGCTTTAACTATCCAATCTGTTCTCCTCTTACTACTGAACTATTGGCTGACCATTTATAGAGAATTGAAGAAGTTTAGATTGGTTGAGTTTATTGCCTTCTTCTTTGCATCAGAGAGGTGGCAATTGCAGCAGTTAAAGGTTTGTTTATTCAGCAACTTGTCCCAATTACCAAGTTGTTGTCTTCCCAATTACCAAGTAATATTTATTGGTTCGATAGTACGTTCCAAGTTCTAATTGCCTTCTACCCCCTCCCCTTCAAACCATAAAAATAAAAAACCAATCTTTTTCCCATCTTTCCACCATGGAAGGATGGGAAAAATAATTTTCTTCGGATCTTTTAGCTTTGTTTTTTTGTTTTAGTTTAATTTTAATAAATAGGATTATAATTATACACGCTTTTAGATTATAATCTGTGAGTTGATTATGGCGGCAACATCCTTGTTGATGTTTGCTAGTATGGCAGCGGTTTTTTCTGTTGTTGTTCACTAGTATGATAGTGGCTTCCTTATTATTGTTAACTAGTATGGCAGTATTTTCATCAGTGATGTTTGTAGGCAAGGCAGCGACGATTTTATTGAAGGTATTCGCCGGTTTGTCTGGCATGGTTCAAAAAGATTCAATTATAACATATCTAATTATTAGATCTCGTGGGCTTTAACCAATGACTAGTGTTGTATATTTGACTAGATCAAAAGTCTGGCACATGGTATAACCATTATTTTGTATCGTAGATCTATATAGGTTTATCCATATAAAACACAATAATGACACTATGGCTTATTGTGAGTTGTGTTTTTCTGGGTAGATCTATCTTTTGTTGCTCAACATTTTCTGTAAATTAAGGAATTTATATTTATTTCAAAAAAAAAAAAAAAGTGTTAAGTTAGAGAAGGAAAAATTACAGTTTGCAATTGTTTAGGGATAAAATTGCAATTAAACCCATTTTACAACTTTTTCAAAAAATTTCCCCGACTTTTCCCGTCTAAAACGATCAAATGAAATGAGCCTAAAAAACCCCATTTTCTCTTTTTTCACTTTCGCTCTTCCTACTAATTTCCTACTTCGATTGATGAAGTTGCTGTAATTCTCGTTCAATCTCTCTTGTAAACCCTAATCTCGCTAAATGCAAGAGTTATTTGGATCAGTTAGGCGATCACTGGTGTTCCGTACGCCGCCCAATGTAGCTCCCGACTTCGGTGGCGGTGGAAGCGGCGGTCGAGAAGATGGAAGGCTCGTAGACAAAATTAACTCCTGCATTCGGAAATCCAGAGTTTTCAATAAACCCTCGCCTCCGAGTTTGCCGCAGCCGTCCACGAGAGATAACAATGCTGCCGCAGTGCCGCCCATTCGGTGGCGGAGAGGTGAGATGATCGGTTGCGGCGCGTTTGGGCAAGTTTACATGGGAATGAATCTCGATTCAGGGGAGCTTATCGCTGTTAAGCAGGTGGAGAAAATTTTTCTCGTATTTTTCTCTGATACTTTTCTTAGCTTCTTGAATTTTATCCTCTAAAATATGGTGGCGGAAAATTGTGTGCGTGTGTTTTTTTCTTGTTGGCCTTTCTAATTGAATCAAATTTGTGATTTAGGTTCTGATCCCTGCAAATTGTGCTTCAAACAAGAAAACTCAGGTGTGGCATCTGCTCTCTATTCCCAAATTCTTTTTAGTACTTGACATGTTTCACTGTACTTCGTTGCCTCTTTTTCGTTTATTGCCGTGATGTGAGTTGAAAGTTCTGCCAAAAATTATTTTCTCATCTATCTGGTGTTGATTGCTTCTGTAGTAACTAATCTCAGTAAGAATAATACTATTTCCTGATCTTGAAAGCACTTGGGGGAAATTAGATTAAATTTAAATGTTTATTTTGTATTAGTCCAGAAATCTGAATACTCTTTTCCTATTCACAGTATATCTTGATATACAATTTGACCTCTTTTTTGCTGCCTACAAAGGAAAGCTTTATTTTTTGATCTGTTATTAATATACTTCTTGGGGTAGGGTAATGTGTACTTGTGTGGACTGTGGAGTTTTATATTTTTGTTATTGACTAGCCCGCAGGCTTGGTCAGAATTCCTTCATACCTTTAGGCTTAGTCGATAGCTAGTGCCCGTCATGCTATCAGTCATGGGAAGGGATTGAATCTTTCGGTAGCTGTTTTGAGTCTTTGTGATCGAAGAAAACAAGAACAACGTAACTATTAGAAGGTAGGAAACTGTGCTATTAGAAGTTAAGCTATTAAGAAGAGAATAGAAGAGATGAAGTCCGCCCCTTAGCCGAGTCTATATCCTCAGCTGATGCAACTCCATACTGACGCCTCACAACTACTAAATTTTGTCATAACCCAAGCATTCATTAAGCAGTTTACTTTACGTCGTAACCTGACCATACCTTCGACTATAGCATAGGCATTTGCCGGCCTTTTGTCCCCTTTTCATTTAGAAAGAGGGGCCGGGTGACTTATTTGGGGTTTTTTTTTTTGGGGGGGGACATAAATAAGGGATTAGGTTGCTGCAGTGGTTCAAAGAATTATGAGGTATGCCCTTGAAAAAGTGTATTTCGTTATCATGTGTCCATTCCTGACAAAATATTGAAGCAGCATATGTCATCAGCAAGGCATAAACGGCAAAAGTTCTCTGAACCTGAATGGAAACATGGTCATGTAGCTAGGGACATTTCTATGTGATGATTCACATTTAAAAATCTTATGCGCCCAGTAGCTGTTAACTTTGCATTCATCTGTCCCTTGATTATCTTTTTAGATTTTCATGAATGTAGGAAACAGCCGTAAGAGGGAAGCCAGTGGCTTTTGGTATCTTTTTGGATTCGCATGAGTTGCTATTCTTTGTGTGGAGTTGGAATGCATTAAGATCCAGCCTTTAATCCTTCAACTTGATTATTTGACTTCAACTTTTTACTCTAATTACTAGGATTACGTACGGGAGCTTGAGGAAGAAGTTAAGCTCCTGAAGAATCTTTCACATGCAAACATAGTGGTAAGTTTAATGTTTTTCCCTTTCACTCCTTTGTGAGATAAGCTTATGTTAAGCTTTTCCTTTTTTTATTTTTACCCCCTGGTTTCTCAGAGATATCTGGGAACTGTGAGAGAGGAGGTGACATTAAATATATTGCTGGAATTTGTTCCTGGAGGATCAATATCATCACTGCTAGGAAAATTTGGATCTTTTCCTGAAACGGTAAGTCATATTTAATTATCTTACTGTTCAATTGCTGGTTGTTGGATAGTTTGTTGAGTGGGTTAAATGAAAACAGGTTATCAAAATGTATACAAAGCAGTTGCTGGAGGGACTGCATTATCTTCATCAGAATGGTATCATGCACAGGGACATCAAGGTTTATTTATTTTTTTTATACACGTTCGTTTAATATCTGTTCGCCCCAACTCTCTGTCAGTATTCTTTCAAGTAAATGTTTGAAATTTCGTTATATGTCAGGGAGCTAACATTCTTGTTGACAATAAAGGCTGCATTAAACTTGCAGATTTCGGAGCATCCAAACAGGTGGTGGAGCTGGTAATATGCCATCTTCTCTTCTCTTTGTTTAGCCTAAATGATTACCTATCTGATGTTGGCTCGTTATGTAGGCTAATGCTTCAGGTGCGAAGTCCATGAAAGGCACTCCATATTGGATGGCTCCGGAAGTGATTCGTCAAACTGGTCATAGCTTGTAAGTTATAGATAGTAATGCTTTGATGTCCTCAATAATCTCTTGCTTCCTTTTTCATCTCATAATTGATATTCCAGATGGCTTATGCTTTTAATAAGTTTCCGTAAAGCAAATTATCTGAAATGCATGGACTTTCCAGTTATGTAGACTGCACCTTTGGCTCCTACTCCATTTTTTTTTTATATATATATATATATATTTAACAAACCAGGGCGGTACCTGGGATATGTATTATTTCATAGGGAAAGAGTTATAAAAACTAGAAGGCTAAAAAACATAGGTACCTATAAAATCTAGTTAGCCTTCTTGCAAATTACAAGATCAAATATTCCTTAAATACGGGAATCGTTTTTGATCAAAGGCAACAAGTCCCAATATTCTCTTTGGCAATGTCGAATGAATAAATTGTGTGGTCACCCCTTGAACACATGCGGTTTTAGCCAATTCGTCCGCCACGACATTGATTTGTCGATAGATATGTCTAAATGTAGTAGACATGCCACTTGCTAGCTCAACGATAGCCTTCAAAGATTTCTTTAGCCTCCAATGCCACCTAGCTGGATTCCTTAAGATTTGAACAAGGGCCTCAGAATCTATCTCCACCTCGATCGTCGCTTCCGAGCTCTTTGCATAGTTCCAATCCTCTAAGAAGAGCTTGTGCTTTAGCTTCAAAGTTGTTGCCAATACCAATATACGTAGATTCAGCTAGGATTACTGTCCCATCTACATTTCTAATAATTATTCCACAACCCGACTTGCCTGAGTTAGGGCAGTATCCATCAACATTTAGTTTGACTCCCTTGGAAGGGCAGTTCCAAGAACAGCTTAGAGTTCTCTTTTGGCTTGGATTCTCTATGAAAGGCAGTAAGCCTATTCTGCAAAAATTCCAATCACTGGGCAGTGAAGCTTTGAATGGGGATGCTCTTGCTATGTAGTGAAGCTCCTTCTTTACCAGCTTGATGCTGATATCAGGGGGAATTAATGTAGAGTCAAAGATGGCTTTACTACGAGTTTTCCATATCTGCCAACATATGAGAGATGGAAGTAGACACTGCAGCTCCCAAGTCAATTTTGATGTGTTTCTTTTTTGCCACTAGAGAATTAGCATATCTTTTAAGCAAATGGCACTGTGTGGTTCAATTCTCATGACATAACCAAAATGTTCCCAAAGGTTAGCAGCATAAGGACAACTAAAAAAGACATGCTCAAAGTCATCCGTATAGTTATGGCACAGAAAACACATTGAGGGGAGTTTGATGCCAAATTTCATAATTGTATCAGACATAGGCAGCAAGTTATTCACTAACCTCCACATGAATAGAGAGATGCGCAATTGCATTCTCTTTTGCCAAATAAAGGTAGAGTGCCAAGACGGTGTTTGACTTTGTCGCAAGAGTTGTAAGGCAGTTTGTAGCAAAAACAGGCCGATAGAGTCTGTTTTCCATGTCCATGTATCTGGTTCGGTTGTTAGGATAGGAGGGAACTTTTTGATGGAACTGATGTCCTCTTCTAGCAACACTTCCTCCAAGGTCCCAAGGTTCCAAGATTGATTACTGATGAAATCTCTAACACATGATCTTGAATATTTCTAAATATTTTCATTGTACTTGGAACTTAAAGGGCCATTTCCAATCCAATTGTCTTGCCAAAATGAGGAAGAACCATTCTGCAAATTTTTCAGAGTGTTTTCTCACATGATATTTTCCCACGGGCTCATTCGCTTCCAGAAAACTGAAGACTGAATATCTTTGGCTCGGCAATTAATGAATTGTGCCCAAATCCCTGAATTGGTGAAGATCTTCCACCATAGTTTGCAGGTGAAGGCAGCCAAGACATCATTTAAAGATCTTGTACCAATGCCGTTTTCTTCAATTGGATATGACATTCGCCCCCAGCTCCTCCAAATTCTTTTTTGCTGACCTTCATGTTCACCCCAAAAGAACTTTGGCTCCTACTTCAGATGTTTTTTGGTGATTTTATTTAAAAGTTTTCAATAATATCCAGTTACGGGCACATTGAAATTAATGGGCACATTTGGCTCCTACTGTCTTTGGCCTTCCGACTAGTCTGGGAATGTAGTTTGCCATAGCTGTTTGGAGATTCTTCCTTTCCTTTCTTCATATACCGTGATGCTTTGGATGTTTAAGTTAAAGGAAGCACTTGGATATTCTTTTTTCATTTTTCCTTTTGCTTGTTGCAGAGCATCAAGACATGAGGTGATGTTCACCTATTTAACTGAGATATGTCATGTCACATTACCTTGTAACTTTTCTCTGGGGCAGAAGTAACAAGTCAATCACTTTCAATATGAATGAGATACTGTAGAAGATTTATGTAGTGAGAATTTGGAACTTTTCTATCAATAACTTTCTAGGTCAACAATATTAATGAACATGAGAAGGGTCGTATCCTCTAAATTTCAGAATATATTCCATTTCTTAACAAATTGTTCATTTTCCTTTGAAGCAATAAATTTTCAGCTAAATTTAACCAACAAATAGTTTCACTGAACTAAACAAGACGACTTGCATTTTCATGTACATTGAAGTTTTGTTTTCTCAAGTGACAAAATTTGAACAGTGTCATAAAGTTCAAGCAATGTTTGATTGCTTTGCATTAGTATGCTGGAACGGCGAACTGGTTTAGGATCCTAACATGCCTATGCCATATCCCGAACTGGTGTAGTCAAATTATTCTTTCCCCTTAAATTTTCCAATTCAGAGTGTTCCTTACATATTAATTTTACCCGCATCCTCTTCTGTTTCTTTTTGTGCTCTCTGCGATGTGATACAAGGTGATTTAAAATGTTTGTGATTGTCCTTCTGTGTATTAAACTGATGTTGGTATGTTTCTTTTACTAGTTGCTGAAATTCTTGCTTCAGTGTTTTACCTTACATTTTAGTTTCTTCTGGTCTATTCCTTCACTATGACTCAAATTTCTTTCGTCCATTTTTCAGTTCCGCTGACATATGGAGTGTTGGATGTACTGTCATTGAGATGGCTACTGGCAAACCTCCTTGGAGCCACCAATACAAGGAGGTGTAAAAGCAACACAAATTTTGTAAACCTAATATAATCTTTCATTTTTAAAGATTATTCACTGAAGTTCTCACATCAAATCATGTATCGTCTTTTCAGGTTGCTGCTTTTTTCTTCTACATTGGAACTACCAAGGAACATCCTCCAATCCCAGAGTGTCTCTCCCCTGAGGCCAAAGATTTCTTATTGAAATGTTTACAGAAGTACATAATCAACCGTTTATCTCTTCTTTCTCTGTTTGGTTGTCAGATTTTACAAAAAGGGAACCATCAACTTGACCCCTTTAAAGCTTTGAGTCTATTATCATTTCATAGTTTCCTCTCTGTTTGTGACTTCCTACTTTTCACATCTGATAGATTTTTTTTTCCCGGATGAAAATATTGTGATGAGTTCCAGTTTTCATTATGCATATTCTCTTCTTTCCTTTCTTTCTATCTTTTATATTTTTAAAAAGTTCTAGCTATAACGTGCAGGGAACCGGAGTTACGGCCTCCAGCTTTTGAGTTACTGCAGGTGATACTTGTGCCAACAAATAGAAACTTTTTTTTTGGGTATGAAACCTTCTGTGCTCCATCTAACAAGCTTTTTATTGCATGCAGCACCCTTTTGTTACTGGCAAAGTCATGCCATCTCCTATTCCTGTTCATACTTCCACTATGGTTAGCCGAATTACATAGTTTTGTCGTCAAGGATGTATATTATTGAAGTATTTCTAACTAGCATTGTCATCAAGGATGGATATTATTGAACTATTTCTAATTAGTAGTTTCCTTGGATAGGAATCATCTGAAGCTCCATTGTTATCTGTGGACGGTTCATTGAATGTGTAAGTCATCGGTGGGTTTCTTTTGTTGTTTTCATCTGTAAGTTTATAGACTTTAATACTAATGTGGTGATTACTGTTCTTATTGGTGATTAGGAGAGGCAGCTCAGAGGACATATGTAATTTGGGTACTCTAGATTTCTCAACCCCATATCCTAAAACTCATTCAGAAGGCAAGCATCTTAATGGGCAGACAAGTAGTGATTTTGACTTGTGTCGGCTCGATGAGAAAGATGAGTTACTAATGACTGAAACAAACACCAGTCCTATGATGCCAGATGAATTTTGTAAGGTATGCAGTTGTATAAGTTTCTTTTTCGGATTGTTGATGTTGTAGTACTTTACGTACCTGCGACCTCTCATAATAATGTTTTGAAGCAGAGTTTCAATCCTATGAGTGAACCCTGTGATGATTGGAGAAGTCAATTAGATGCAAGTCCTGGAGGAGAAAGGAGTGACACGAAAGTTGACCTGGAGAGTGAAGTCGATGGCTCTCCATTACCTGGTGTTAGCAATAAGGATTTCTCATCTTCTTCTCCACCATCGCTGTTTGAGGATGATGATGAGGTCACTGAATCTAAAATCCAAGCATTTTTGAATGAAAAGGTTAGCCTTAAACACTGACTACACAACTTTATGGTACATTAGACACAAAATTCTGAATACGTAGTGCTTCGCATCATAATTACTGTTCAGGTTCAGGAACTGAAAAGATTGGAAACTCCTCTTTTTGAAGAATTCCATAACAGCTTCAATCCACTGTGCTCTCCAAAGTTATCTGAGGCCACACGAGATGAAACTGGTCCAAAAATTTTGAAGTTGCCTCCTAAAAGTAGATCTCCCAGTCAGACCCCATCATCTGCAGTGAAAAGTGCTGTTGATAGAAGCCCCGGGAGTAGTAGCAAGCGTATGCCACATGTTGGCGTTCAGACTTGTGAAGATCAGCAGCAAAACTTTTCACCTCAGACAAACGATTTAAATGTGAACCTTGCTGATGCTCAGGATGAAAGTAGTCCAAAGTCCGTTGTTTGCTATTTATTCTTTAGTTGTTTCTTCTCAATCTGTTTCATTCTTTTTTTGTCTTGCTGACCTGGTTATTATATGAATGTTAGTGTCAGTGAGATACAGAGGAAATGGAAGGAAGAGCTTGCCCAAGAGCTTGAAAGAAAGCGCGGTACAGCTCTTAAATGCTTTTTGTACTAGTTGTAGTTTGCTAGTTTCCATTAATTTTGATTTTCATGGTGCTCCTTCTAAAACGGGGATAAAAAAGGGATATGAAGGTGAAAACTGCCTAACCAGAAAAAGTCTAATTCCAAATGGTTAATCTGGCATTTTGTCATATCTGACTCCTTTTGGGTGTTATTTATCTACTTGATGATGCCAACATTTCATATACTCCTAGTGGTATTTGTATAATAATCAAGTTGACGAACAAAAAAAAAAAAGGAAATTTAAGGTGTATGAAGAGCGGTGCACTCAGAATTGTGGTTTCTGCAGTTCAACATTCAATAGCTTTGTGCAGCATTTAGAGTATGGTAGTTTATAACACTTCTAATTTCTTTGAGCAATGTTGTAGTGGAGATGCGTCAAGCAGGGGCAAAAACCTCGTCGCCCAAGGATCGAGCTTTGAATCGACACAGAGAACGGTCAAGGTTTGCCTCTCCAGGCAAATAATAGTAAGGGAAAGCAAATTGCAGCCTCAATTTTAGCCGGCTGTTTTGTCCCTTTCAAACCCATCTTGGCAAAATACATAACATCATGCTGGGGCCCGAAAAATCTGCACATTTGAGTACATCTTTTGATTTTCCAGAGCATTGGATTTCTGTTTTTCGTGATTTCTCAGCATGCATTGTTATGTTGCCTTGTGAAGGGGCGTGTCTGATGTTCGGGAGTACATAAGGGTTCAGCTATCTCCTGCTGGAACTGGATATGAGTTTTCGCATCTTGTGAATTTTTTAGTTAGTGTACAAAGGCTGTATACCTTATCCACAATAACAGAGAGATTCACGGCACCTTATTGCCAGGATTGATCCTTTTTCCTTTTCCACTTGGTTGCTTGTATGCAGTGGTTTTAAGCGTGCTGTACGAAGTATATGATGTATTTTCAGTGCAAAGTTATCCTAGTTTCGGAATGTGTTTTCGATCATCTATGTATGCTACTTCCAACAGGTAGTTGACTTGCATGCACTTTTGTATACCTCAAGTGAAGAACCAAAGTCTCCATTGAATGCCTCGTATTATAAAAGTAAAATCTTAATAGTGTCTAAACTCGACTGATTCTTTGAATCGGTTGGAACACTAGTATGGATTACCAGTCAAGTTCGAGCAGGTTCAATTTCTGAACTGAAACTTCCTAATAAAATTTTCCGGCAACAGATTAATTTCGAAAATAAAGCCTCTTTCAGATAATGTATATACAAACATTATAATGTGCCGAAACATGCGTTTATCACCTGCTTGTGTTGGAGGAACAGACTGCAAACTAAAGACAGGCTCAACAGGTTCATGGTTCCACAGGTTGATCCAAAGTGTGAACTTTGTATCATCAGCAGCAAGAAGATGCGTTGCACTTGTTTTTTGAATGTAGGTTTTCAAAGGAAGTGCTGAATGAAGTGAACCAGTGGTTAAAGATTCAGATTCCATGTCATCAGAATGGATGGAGGAGGGAAATTCTGAGTACTTGGAGAAACTCTAAACTGAAGAGGAAGGTACTTTTTGCTGTAATTTCTGCTTTGATATATCATATTTGGGAAGAAAGAAATGCTAGATGTTTTGTTGGTAAGCAGAGAAGTAGCAGTCAGTTAATACAGGTGATTAGACAGGAGGGTATATTGGAGAGTTCAAAATTGTTTAAAGCAACCATAAGTACAACAGCAGGATACATTTCCAGAGTAACAAAAGAGTGCAAACACTGGTCATTCCATCAACAGAATTCCAGAAAAGAATCAAACTTACATGGACATTGAGGAAATATCTTTGAATTGAACAAGATCCAGATCAATCTACCCACCAAACAGAAAAACAAACCAAACTTTCCGCTTTCGCTTTAAATTCTTGGAGCTGAAAACCGCATTGGTGTCGCACTTGGTCGTTGTTTGAGCCCCCCACTCATCATATTATTAATCTTCATCGCCTCAGTCCTATTATTATTCTGTACAGATTTCCGACCTTTCAATGGTGAAACAAGCTTGTTTGCCAATCTTGATGGCGAAAATGACCTTCTGAGTTTTGCTGCAGTAGACACCTTGGGACTTTTCTTGATCAAACTTGCTGATCTTTTGGGGGAAATGGACAATGGAGGGCTCCTTATTTTCACATGAAATTTGGAAGTTGAGGGTGAAGGAGACTTGATCAAGAACTTATGTGGAGTTGTGGGACGACTCTTTGCCAAAACAGGCGATTTAGTAGTAGTCTTGCATAAAGTTTGATGCCTTGCCATTACCACTGGGGATTTAGTCTTGCATAAAGTTTGCTGCTTTGAAGTTGGTGATGAAGAATGGAACAATGGGTTAGGAAACAACACAGTTTTTCTCGCCCATGGCCTATTCCTTGGGGAAACTCTATTTGCAATGTACCTGCAATTTTCTTTGTCACAATCACTCTTGTGCAATGGAGAAACCTTGAAATTGATCTTGGATTTAGCCCTTTGGAGTGATGGAGCATCTGATTCTGCTCGGATTGACACTAGTGCAACCTGTTTTTCTCTTTTCCTCCGAACACGAAGCTCGGAATTCTCTGGATTTGTTGGCCTCAAGGGATTCCTTTTCCTCTCTGTCAGTGGTGTTTTGGGGTCATCAGCTTCTTGTTGTCTGTTATTCTGAGGTTTAGTAGTATTAACTGCTTCAACAATCTGCCTTGCAAATTGACTAGCTTGCAGAATCTCTCCCACTGTTTCCCCCAACAACATTGCCGGTAATGACATTCTTTTCCAGTCCCCTGATTTTGCAACAAATGATGAGTGATCCAAAGATGCAAACTTTTCATCCAACTCTCAAATGGAAATTAACATTTACAATATGATTTTTACCTGTATTTGTTGGCAATTTCCCAGGAGGAGATCTTTTAGCGGTATGATTCTTGATCCTTTTTTTTTATCCAGAAACAAACACAAACAGAACATCAATAACCCAACTTACTGTAATAATAACATGAATGGAGAGAAACCAATTGAAAAACCATGAGCGAAAAATTTCATTTTTTTTTTACCTTAAGGATTCCTGCTTGCATCTAAGACTAGTCCTTAAGTAGCCTCTTGTGCTTCTTGGACTAAGTGTCACCCCGGATATCACTTTGTTCCCTCCTGCAACTGTAAATTGAAGCTCTTGCAGTCTCCTAATCGACTTATCCACCTTCAAATTGGGAGTAAAAACACCATAATTCAGAAACCCACAAAAAATAAAGCCAAATTTCTCAATTTGACACAGACCCATTAGTCAAATAAATTTTTTTTGAAAAAAAAAAAAAATTCCAGCAACACATTCCACCAAACATAAATAAAGATCAGAGGGGAGCGCAAAATGGAAAGAAAAAGGAAAACAGAAAAGAACCCAGGAGCGGCATTGTAATGATGATTGATAAAAAAGAAAAAAAAAATTACCTTATTAATTGTCTCCCTAATGCGAGTGGGAGTGAGATGAATCGGTTGTGGAAGAGAAGGAGGAGGAGATGAAGGAGGAGCCACCATCTTTCTTCCCTTAGGTGGGGTTCTAGCAACCATTTTTCCTTGGAAAGAAACAAAAAAGCGGGTTTTTTTTTCAATTTATTAAAGAAATTGTTTGCTCACCAAAAAAATTGGAGAAAGTCAAAGAAGAATTGGGTATGAAATGAGGGTTGAATTGGGACCTTCTTCTCCACCACGTTCTTCTGAGTCTGAACTCAATGACATGATCTTGTTGTTGAGACAAGAGTCTCCACTTCGTAAGTGGGTGGGTTGTAAGTAACGGTTATGTTTTTTTTTCTGTTCTTCTTCTTTTTCTCCAACGGTCGAATTTAATTTTTATCGGATCGCCGGAAATACGCATAGAAAAAAGCTATAAAAACGGCTCCTTAGAATTAATTCATTATTATTTGGGCCGGATCTCTGGCTTACGTTATTTTCATCATTCGGTGGGCCGAGTGTGCTTAGTTAGAACATGAGTTTGGAGTAATTGTAAAGATACCCCTCAGTTTCCACTATTTCTTAAGATGCTAGTATCTAAAATCTAAACACAAACTATACTTAATTAGCAGATTTTTTTTTAAAAAAAATATTAGTTTTAATGCAAATCATGAAATAATTTTAAAAGGATACTAACCACTCTTAAAGTAATCTATACTTGTCGCCGATGGATCCCTTATGATTATTTGTCATTATTTTAATTCGATGTTGAGACCTGCTTAAGAAAAGACAAACTCCTTACCGCTTGACCCTAACAATTGTGAATCATTTTAAAGATTTTTTGAATGAACAAATTTGCGTGTAACCTTCTCGTTTTTATTTTTCAAAACAAATATGTACTATAAACAACCTATAAAAATTGTGACACTCTTTGTATTTATCACTCGAATCATAACAATTAAGTAACAGAAAGAACAATATGATCATATGCTGCAGTTAAGAGGAAAATGAGGTGAAATAAAGATATTTACGTTAGTTCAATAAGGTAAGGACTTTTTTGAAAGAAGAAAATCACTTAACTCGGGAGAGAATCAAGTCAGCATCATTACTCCTAACATAAAAGAAAAATCTCAAAACGTCCAAAATTGCACCACTAATTTCTTGTTGATGCACGTGAAACATAACAAAAATGATTTTATTTTTTCCTCAATTTAATTTTCTTCCAATTAATTGCATATATTGAAGACTCTTAAACTTTGATGTAGTAAAAAAAAACACTGGAAGAACTTGGAATTAAGCTGGAAATCATCCCAGAGGCATCCATGAAGACATTACATTTTCCTACGTGTCTCTTATTTATCTTGCTATGCATTATCTTCATAACATTTTTGTTAAGACCAAAACACTTTGAGGAAAATGTCCAATATTCTTCATATCATTATTCTCTGAGAATCAGAACAACAACTCCAAAATGGTATCAAGTTGTAGCTGAAAATTTGAAGAATAAAGGGCTCAAGATTGGATTTGTAGATGGGGGACAGCCAGCAAAAAGCCTCAAATTACCCCATGGAGTAGATATAAAAGAGATTACTTTTCAAACTGTTGGAGATGATGTCAGATGGAAGGACTTGTATCCTGAGTGGATCGATGAAGATCATCCTGAGCTGCAGAAATGCCCTAAAATTCCAATGCCATGTTTCGAACATTATCGGGATTTAAACGCTGTAGTTGCCACTGTTCCATGTCCAAGCAATGCTACTAACACAGGATATGATGATGTATTCAGGCTGCAAGTTAATCTAATAGTTGCTCATGTATTGGTCAGAAGCAAAAAGATTGATCATAATGATTTAGGTGATAGAGAAGTATATGCTGTTTTCTTAGGTTCTTGTGGTCCAATGTTTGAGTTATTCAGATGTGAAGATCTCTTATGGAATGACATCAATACTTGGATTTACAAGCCTGATTTGAAAAGGCTGCAACAGAAAGTGCAAATGCCTGTCGGAAGTTGTCAGCTTGCGCCGCGAAATGCTGTCGAATCAGGTGAATTTTTTTTGGTAAATTTTGTGTCAAAGTGCAGTTGATGATTCGTGAAGTGTGTACTCATATTCAAATTTGCTGATACAGGACAAAAATGGTTGGTGAAAAATGCAGAAAAGCCAAGAGAAGCTTATGTAACAGTCATCCATTCTTCAGAAGATTATGTTTGTGGTGCAATTGTTTTAGGCCAAAGCATCATCCAAACAAAAACAAAGAGGGATATGATCCTTCTTGCAGATACTACCATATCACACAAATCTTTAAGAGGACTAAAGGCGGCCGGATGGAAAATCAAACTCATCGAACGAATCAGAAGCCCGAATGCAGAAAAAGATGCATACAATGAGTACAATTACAGCAAACTTAGGATTTGGCAACTCATAAAATATGATAAGGTCATATTCATAGACTCAGACTTATTAGTCCTGCAGAATCTAGATGAGTATTTCTCATACTCACAATTGTCAGCTGCAAGAAATGGAAGGCACATTTTCAATTCGGGTGTCATGGTGATCGAGCCATCGCGGTGCACATTCGAGACCATGATGTCGAAAAGATTCAGCATTGTTTCATACAATGGAGGTGATCAGGGATTCCTGAATGAGATATTCAGGTGGTGGCATAGATTGCCTAGTAAGACGAATTTTCTCAAGGAATTCAGTAACAAAGAATTCGGCCCTGATCATCAGTATCCCATCACAGTTCATGCAATGCATTTTCTGGGAACAAAACCATGGATGTGTTACAGAGATTATGACTGTAATTGGGACATTTTCCATTATCAGAGGTTTGCAAGTGACTCTGCTCATTCGAAGTGGTGGCAAGTGTTTGATTCGATGCCGAAGAAGCTGAAACGCCATTGCAAGTTGACTCCTGAGATGGAAGAAGATGTTATAATGAACAGGGAATTAGCAAAGGAATTTAATTTTTCTAATGGCCATTGGAAGATCAATGTGATCAAGGATCCTAGGAGGACACATCATCTGTGATCATCATTGTTCTCAATTTTGCAGTAGTGAGAATCTTGTTTTTTCAATGGTAAATACAAAAGGGTTTACTTTTTCTCCACCATTTTGCATTAAATATTTGATTTTTCTTGATTATTCACATATATTTGTCCTGGCTTATTAAATCATGATCATCTATGTGGAATTCACCTTTACTTGACACAGAATTTCACTTCCATAACTTCAATATAATGTTGCTCTTATCTTATTAAATGAATCGTTGAGCCCGAATAATATATCAATCGTTGCTGAACAATTTCAAATAAATTCGGTAACATGTTGCTAAGTTCTTCCTCAAAAAATAGACCCCAATGTATCAGATCAGTTCTACATTCTACATCCTATGTCTTAATTACTCTGCCCATTTATGCATTCTGGGATCTTTGATTTCTATCTTCCAGTGTCCATCAGGCAAGCTAGCATTTCTAGCCTTCCCTCTCCATTTCTTAATTTTTGCATCCATTTTTGGAGTCAATTCACAGTATGCTTTTAGATCCTTAGGCATTGCATTATAAACTTGCCACCATTTCTCATGAGCCCAATCACACGCATGCTTTTGAGACTCCAAGTTGTCCCAATTACAGTCATAGTCTTGATAACACATCCATGGCTTCAATCCCAGATAATGAATTGTGTAATAGTTCTTCATACTAAGAACTTCACCACTTCTCCTTGACAAATCTTTTTCATTGATGACAAACATCTTGAGCATTTGAGCCCGACCCGGCCATCGATGCCACCAAGGAAAGATTTCATTAAGGTATCCTTGATCACCTCCATTGTATGATCCCATAGTGTACCTCTTTTGCATTAGTGTTTGGAATGCACATTCTGATGGCTCCAAAACCATGATCCCGGAATTGAAAATGTGGCCATTGTTCTGAACAGCTGATAGTTGAGGGTAAACGAAAAATTCATCCAAGTTCCTCAGCACAATAAGGTCAGAATCAATGAAAACGATCTTGTCATATTCAGTGAGTTGCCACAGCCTCAGCTTGCTGTAGTTGTACTCGTTGTAAGCGTATTTCTTCGCGTGAGGGCTGCGAATTCGCTTTATTCGCTTGATCTTCCATCCAGCCGCCTCCAGCCCTCGCCATGATTTCTCGGAAATGTGGTCATCAGCTAGCAGGATTAGGTCTCTGGTGGAGTTGGATTTGATGATGCTTTGAGCTAAAGCTATTGCACCACAAACATAAGCTTCTGAAGAATGTAGGACTGTCGCATAAGCCACTCTTTGCTGATGATATAAAGAACTATTGATTGGACCCTTTTGCCACTCTTCTTGTCCTGAAGAAAAATCCATATATAAGTCCTCATTCACATTCAAAATAATTTAAATTGTAAACCACACGCCAACAACTAACCGCGCAAGCTATATCATACAATGGTCTAATTTGTACAGTTAAATTTCAGAAAATAAAACAACTCCTTCCGTCTCAAAATTATTGTCCAGTTTGTATTTTGATTTTTAGAACAAATGAGCTAAAAGTGAAAAGTCAAACTGGACAATAATTTTGGGACAGAGGTAGTATAAGATTTGTCTAGTCTAGCCATTAAAATTAAAAAAAAAAAAAGAAAATGATGTAACAAAAGCAAGTAGAGAAAATCACCTGGTTCAGCAAATGGATGAGCAACTTGACATGATCCAACAGGCATGACCATCTTCTGCTTAAGTTTCCTCAAATCAGGCTTATAAATAGACAAGATTCCTTCATTCCACACTAAATCATCACACCTGAAAATTTCCCACATTGGACCACAAGACCCCATCAACACAGCATACTTCAATCTATTCACATGGTATATTTCCCCCTCATTTTTAACCAACAATTGAGCAACAACTAAATTCACTTGCAACCTAAACACATCCCTTGAACCAAAACCATTTTCATCTCCTCCTTTAGGACATGGAACATCAGCCACCACGACGTCGAATTCCCGGTGTTCTTCCATCCGCGGCGGCATTGGAATTTCCGGGCATTTCTGTTGTTTGGGTTCATCTTCATTGATACACCCGGGAAACAAATCATCCCACTGGACATTTCCATCCACATGCTGAAATTCAACCTTTACTATCTCAGCAGCCGCTCCATGCATTGATTCAATGATGCTTTGGCTAGTTTCGCTGTTTATATTAACTAAGCCAACTCTGATTTTTCTTTTCCCAAACTTTTGAGCTATTATTTGATACCACTTGGGACGCTTGCCAAAGTTTTGGTAGATTTTTGTTGAAACTTCATTTCTTGACCATAAATGAAGAAAAATGATGGTGAATATGGTGATGAGAAAAAGGGTTGGAAGAGGGTTTTTCTTGAAAGGTTTGAGAACCATTTTTATGGATGATATGATTCAAAGCATACCCAAAAAACTAGATTTGGAAAAGCTGAAAGAAAAGAAATTTCAAATCATAGATATAGGCTACGAGGGAAGAAGAGATGCATGGGTGCAAATTCTCTTCTTGGTAGTTGTAACATTGTGAAAATGGGATTTGCACCTCATTGTTTTTAGGTGCTTATTAGATGAATGAAGTAGTAACAACAAATTAGGTAGTATAAACTGAAACGAAATAGTGAATAATGCATTATAGGATGTATTATAAGATGAAATCTTTTACTGTGTATCTTAATTAATAAGTGAATAATTTTAATGAAATTTGGTGATTATATATATCCATTTATTTATGTTACATTATTGCATAAAGTGTGTACTAGAGCCATCATTACTCTTTGTTAATTTCTTACTAATAACTATATGGAAGAAAAGATTTTTTTCCCAATTAAATACTCCTTCTGTCCCATAATTATTGTCCGGTTTAAAATTTTACTTTTAGTACAATTTGAACTAGAAATGAAAACTCAAACTGGACAATAATTATGGGACGGAGGGAGTATTAAATAATATAATTGTGGTATTAATTCGGTTTGGTGAAAATACAGTATACGTTTTGCAAAAGCGGTTAAACAAACAAGTAGAAAAATGGTGCGATCACATACAGTTTGCTGGTTTGAAATAACCTAAAAAAGTTTCACAATTCACATCGCCCAACTGAGAATTAATTTAGTTCAACCGTGGTAAAAAATATTCACTTCCTAAATCCATTTCTCCTGTCCTAAACAAGATAACCTCTTTACTCTGAAAAAAGAAAAGAAAAAGAAAAGGAAAAAAATAATAATTTACTACCATTATATATGTCCTTCAAACTTGCAAAGACATCGAATTTCCTTTTTTTTTCTTTTTTTTGAGGCCAATTCGATATCTTGAGGTCATCGTATGCTACATTTCTTGAAAGAAGAAGAGGTAGTACTCCTCCTATAAAAGAATAAAGATTGAGAGAATAATAATAATAATAATAATAATAATAATAATAATAATAATAATAATAATCTTCCTTTAGTACATTACTATACTAATATACCCATTTAAAAAAAAACTATAATAATATACTAAGAACAAGAAGATGTGTACGTTGTAAATCCAAGATGAACTATATACTCTCTTTGCGCACCTATATATCCTGTCCTAAGAAATTCAAACTAACAGCTAAACAACACAAGGGAGTTACCGTATAAATAATTTAGGCCATCTCTTCAAGTTTCTCCAGCGAAAAAAGGATCCGATTTGGATGTTAACAATAGCACTCGTCAGCAAAGCCATCACATAAAGCAAACTCCATATAAATGACGATGAGAAAGATGCGACCGTTGTTAATCAGAGGAGCTCTTTCTTGCTGCATACAATCGGTAGGCACCCAATCCAACGAAAGCTATGGCCGCCCCAACTGCAAGAACGATCGCAGTTGTCAGGATATATAAATATATTCATAAATTAAGTTGAAGATTGACAAATCAGCAATGTTCTGGGGTTATCAGATATCATACAGTACCATTTGCAATGAACAATGCCCTTAAGGTGGGAACAACAGTTTATTTCAAAGGAAACTTCAATTTGGCAATTAGTCCATCTGTACTAAATCCTCAATAACTAGATGTTATAACTTGCTATCACGAAACAGTAAAACCTCCCGCACCTTTGTCTCCCATCTCATGACATACACAGACCACTACACCTTATTCCATCCAAATCATTTATCTCTTCCCTTAGACTTAAAAAGAAATCAGTCCCTAGAATAATTTTCATGTTTTCTGTTCACAAAATATAGGGTAATCGTTTTGGGACTGACTGAGTATATGAATATGAAACAGACCCAGTCAACACCACCTGATTCTAAGAAAAACTGCTAAACATTGTTTATTGCCTACCCAATACACAATAAAATCAGGAACGGAGAAAAGAAACTCCAAAGAGTGGTGGCACTTTCATTCAAAACATTAATCTTCCACCCATGATGAGAGGTAGGTTTATGGATAATCTCGCCATAATATTACTTAGTGCACAAACGGTTTCATTTAATTTAGATGTATCATGTATTTTCTAAATATTTAGGTTGTTCCCTTCCCCATTAATTACAATGGAGGCAGATATTGGTTTAGCAAATCAAAAGAACAGTAATAATCTTTATCCCACATGATCCCAACAATGATTTTCTTTAAACACACAGTTCCATCCGAAACAGATCTATCAAGTCTTTTCAGTCGTTAAATATTCCAGGTAATTGAATCTTTCCCTTCCCCTTCGTATTGCAGTTAAATGTTCCAAACATCTACAAGCTGTACTGGTGCGTTAAAAAGTGTCATACACACACATGCCCAAACACCTTAAGAGTATTTCTCTTGTTTTCTCATGTGTGAGGGCCACCACATCTTCAACCTATAATTTCAATTACTGATAAGCCGAACTTAGTTCAGCACAAAGCTACTACAGTGAAAGTTCTCATGAATATTCTCAACAATAATGAATGAAGAAAAACTCTCATAGCAGACATAGATAAAGAACAAGTACCAGAGGTCCAGATGTCTCTTACACCCAAAACTCAAAGCCATAAATGCAATAGAACAGTCATTTCATATAATTAACATACCTGATGCAAACTTCAAAGAGCGACTAATAAACTGACGATATTGCTTGCGGCTTTTCCCAGCTTCAGTTTCGGGTATGCTTAAATGGGGGTGCTGTGCCACACTAACAATTCTGCAGAAAATATTTACATCTCGCAGCTTTCCACTGATTCGAATGGGAGCCTCTATCCCCAAATCTTGACTAACCTATTAGCAAAGTAGATCACGTGAGGAATCATATTTTAAAAGGAAAAAAAAAATCCTGGCTAAAGCAATTTCAAAAGCTAGTAAACAAAGTGAAGATGGGACATTAAAATGATCCAGTGGCTAATCAAAATCTACCACCATTACTTAATAAATACATTACGGCAGAGTGAGCAAATTATAAAAATAACCAAAGAAATTGTGGCAGAGAAGTTATATTTGGAGATTTGACTTATTAACAGTATATCCAATACATGGATAACGAAAAGCTCAACCAAACTTCAAATACTTCTAAATAAGAACCTTTCTTCCTGAAGGCATAGTCAAGAATAAGAAAATCCTATGATTAGCTATGTCTCCGAAGCTAGCTGATTCCCATAAGGCGGCAAGAAAAAAGGCCTCCTTGCTGAAATGTGGAGTTTTGTTCAGAATTAAGAAGTGAAACTCATTGAGTGTTAACCCAAATGAGTCTAGTGATTCACATAATAGACACTTAAAGTCTATTCAGTAAAGTCTATTCGGGAAAAGCAATAATTCTCGTGTAAATCCAGTCCCAGAAATCATCCACTGATATATTAACTAATTACCACATGCAACTAAATTTCGAAGAAACAGAGACATTCTGTTACCATCATGCTGGGATAATTTTGGTCAAGTTAAATCAAAGAGTTAAACATAGTAACCATTTACTAACATAATTTGATGCACAAATTGTACACGTAAGGAATGAGTGCAAACAACAAGATATAATACGCAATCTTATTGAAATACACATATAATCTGGTTGCTTTGAAACAGACAGAAAATAGGTTGTGGGATTTGTACCCTGGTTGAATCTTGTATTTCAGTTGGATATGGATCAAGATCATCTTTAGCTGCAGCTATGAGGCAAGGAACCTCATAACCAGTGGCTTCACCTTGGCTAGCAACACTAAGTAGCAACTCAGTTGCCCTCTTCCATGAAGATTCACAAGATCTGAGGGAGCACCAGTTGGAAAGATAATAATGATTAACAAACAGAAATTACTGATTCTAAAATCTCCTCACATAAAAATAGCATCTATGTCAGAAACTAAAAAATGGAAAATCAGAAAGAGGTTGATTATAAAGTTCTTTATGATACCTGTCATAAACAAATATTGCGACATCACATGCTGCCAAAGCATCCTTACTTGATAGAAACTTCTCTGCATTATCCTCTGGAATCTCACGTAATACGAGAGCTTTCTTGGTGTCCTGTGGGAAATATTATTCCATTATATAAGAATTAAATTTTACCTTCTTACACCCAAGAAATAAATAAACCAAAATGTCAAAGATAAAGACAACATTTATCAACTTCACAAATCGTATCTTACCCCAGGCTGATCAACAATATGGACAACATAATGATTATCTGTAGTAGTTGGAACATATTCTTTAGGGGAAGGCCTGAAAAGGAATAGCGATAACTCAAGACTTCAACAAACAAGTTAACCTTCAGCAAATAACATCTGCTCAAATAGGTAAATTTGCAGAATTTCAAGTATAGCATACAAGTCCCTGAGACATACCTCCCAGGAAATGAGTCCAATATTGTTGACTTTCCAGCCTCTTTGGGTCCAAATACAAAGCACTGATAAACATTTCTGTCTGACTGTTGCTTTTTACGATCTAACAGTCTCCTCCGAGTGATACGAATAGCAGATGAAACATCACCAGCATATCCAATATAAATCAGATACTCAAAGCATCGAATGGGGTCCAGCAGTGCCATAAGAGCCCACTGCACACCAAGAACAAGAAAACAAATAAACTTACAACTTGCAATACTTAAAAGAAACAACTGTATATAACACCAAGCAAGGACAATGAAGCCATAGCAATAAGGAAAACAAAAATGTGGACCGAGCTCAGAATGTGCATTGTGCCAAACTAGCAAGCTTCATATGCATGCTCATAACTGAATATGAGAAGCTGTTTGCATAAACTTCGGTTCTGAGTGAGCTTACAATATAAACTTTAGCCCTTAACCAGAAATTATACAAGGTAAATTCAGCTCAACACAGACAAGGAAAACTTTCGAGGCACTTTTTTAACACCCACCCATCATTAATAGAAGCATTGCAAACAGCATAAAACTTTTGGTTCGAACATCAAGAATCAAAGCAAACACACATAAGGACATTAATAAATTAACATAGTGAAGACAGCATGATGATTTCACTTGCCACCTCCCTTTTAAATATACCACCTTGTAGACTTATTGGACAGCTTCTGACTTTATATTAAAAACATGTTGGTCCAATCAAAATGAAATACAACCATCAAAAGAAAAGATCCATCTTCACAGAAAGAAAAAAAATGATTATAGTTTGACTGTTGTATTACTCAGGTTCGCTGTCCCCTAACTACTATGCATTCTCGCCCTCTAAACCTCATTCAAAGATTCCCATGAGATCCAAGTAAGTAAGACCAACATTGGTGATACTAAAAGACACACATGACAGCATCTCATCCACTAGTGAGGAACAAGAGTGGAAAAATATACATTTTTAGCAACTAAGAAACATGCTACCTATATTCATTTTGTGCCGTAACTATTGACATTCAAATCTTTATGTAGGAAAACAAGAATTTATACAACTAAGCCCTGTACTACTATCACCAGAACAAAATGTGGTTGATTGACAAACTGATTACAGGAAAGAAATATTGAAATTGATGAAAACTCCATCATACATTCAACTCTGATCATAAAAAGAGGAATATCAACCACTCACCGTGGACAGAAACCCATCCAATGTAAGCCCACCTAAAACATTTTTCTCTGCTGCATCTCTATAGGGTGCTTCATTCCATGGACTGAACAAAAAATGTTCGCATAATAAATAGACACGTGGTAAAATGATAAGCAAATGCAAGTCATCAGATACATGGCTACACAAATCAAAGGGCACAAAGAGAAATCATTTTTCATTTTATAAATGCAAGATGGAAATACTCTGAATCTTTTTTGTTATTAAAAGCTACAGCGGGTCTAGTTCTTAACCAATGTAGAGTGGTCCATATAGCAACTAGTAGGAACTTAGTGGTATCTTGGAAAAAAGGCAAAGCCAGGGGGTAGAGAAGATTGCATATATAGCGTTACAAACCCAAGCAGCAATTGTCAAATTGCAAACTCAGATAATTCCAGAAAAAAAGCAGCGCAAACGCACATGCATACACAACCTGAATGAAATTTTTACGTTTTCCCTACTGAACAATATGAAGCAAAATATCAGTAGGATCAAAGAATGTTAACAGATTGTAAAAGCATAGAGGTTGAAGTATAAAAAGGTTACACATTACTTTGCTGGTGCTGTTGAAAATAAACCTTCAACTTCGGCAGTTCTGAGAGATCCATCCTGAAAGAATTCATAACCAGAAAAAGGTTCATCTTTCTCGTATTGCTGAAAAACAAAAAAAAAAATAGCGGTAGAACCAAGAGCAGACATCTCATTAAAACATATTTATATTTAGAAAAGAAATCTAGACAAAGTAAGTATGGTTTAACCATTACCAAACACAATTAAACAAAGAGCAGCTTCAGGCAATGAAATAAGCAGAGAACCAAAACATCAACTTCCATATTTGAAAGGATGAAAATCATACACAGCGTCTAATTCGTATGAAAACATTATACTGTTGATATCCTATTGGCAGACTCCTACACATTAACCAACCAAGGATAGTTTTCACATCCTTAACCATCTGAGAGCTGCATCAACTTCTTGTCCAAGGAAAAGGAAACAACCAAGCAATTAAAGATAACCTAAACATTAATTCTCCACCAGTGGCTTATATACCAAAAAACTTTTGGAAAAAATCGAGATCACCTCTGCATAAAGCTATATGGAGGTGTTACCAAAAACACAAGCTTTTAGTTTTTAAAATCATTTCAAGGAAGATTCTATGCGTCAAATACGCCAAGAAAAAACGACAGTTCTCCCATCATGTATTCCTATTCGGATAAAAATAAACATGTTGCTAAACATAGATGCAAGCAAAAAAGAAAGTTGTGAGGACTAGCCAGCCATACCAGCGAAACGAGCATCTACAATAATACCAAAACAGTCATGATTCTTGGGTTACAGAATGGAGCACAGGAAATCATGAAGCTGGATATTGACAAATTCACTGTGAAAAGTCTTTATTTTCTCAGAAAAATGAATGATATCTCCAAATAGTGGGTCGTATAATAAATTAAGAAGGGGCGAAAACTTACACCATCAATGTCAAACTTAAAAAAGATTTTCCTCAAAAAATCCAAAGCATCATCTCTCAGCTCTGCACTCTGCAGATAAAAGGAGGCATTAGCATTTATAGGATACAAACAAAACACAAGTAAAGAATTCAGTAACAAGCCGGAGTTGTGGGTAGGGAAACCACCACTACAGACGAGAGAAAACAGATGTTAAAAGCCCATCCAACTCTGGCAATATGCAAATCACACATGAAAATGTAAAAGAGGTGCTAAGTAAGACCTAGAATGTCTTACCATAAACATGCTGCTTTATGGCACAGGAATTTCATTTCAAAAGCATGCAACCATCGTATATTCACGGAATCAATTAGAAAATAAATCAGTACACAACAAACTACTATGTAGGTCTCTATGAAAATCCTCTACTCATCAGTAAATTACATCTCAAAGTGTGGTGGTATCTCCTTCGATGGTTTGAGTTCTTTCCTTCCCTGAATGGCTTCTACGTATTAATAGATGCATCTTGGACAAGGGAACTACTACAATGCTCTACATCATCATGACATCATGAAGAAGTGAACAATCCAAAAACTTCTCAAAGCAATAACCGGTATCCAACGTAACAAATAGATAAGTTAGTAGTAGGTTACATAATTTCTATCTACTAAAGACATGCATGACCCAAAATGTAAAAATAAAGATAAAAATGACAAGAATCAAAAAAAATAAATATATGAATCTAAAACTAGCAACAAAAATAAATAAATATATAAATAATGAATGTAGGATCAAGGGGCAACTCAACAATGATCAAGAATCAATTGATATCAATTGATATCAATCAACACCATACTTGGTCAGGATGTCTTCTGAATGGAGGAGGGAGTCTATCATCAGCAAGTCTAATGTCATTATTATATCCAAATCTTCTCAGGACAGTCCATGTTGTCTCCGTACGGCCCTTCTCTATAAAGAGTGCTTGCAGAAAGAGGAATCCTGCCAATGTAAGACCCCTATCATTAATGCCTCCAGGATATTGCTGTTGCACAACCTTCTTAACCTCGCTTATCTCAGAAGGCTGTAGTGGAGCTTGGAAGCACTTAATCTGAGCATAAGTAATAACCATTCTGAATTAGCTTTGCAAGCAACAGATGTCTTTGTGGGGAATATTTCTTTTAACAGGTTCTTCTGGCACAAATAAAAAGCATTGTTCAACAATTTGAAAGTAGAACTGTGGTTCATTACTCATGGAGAACAAGAATCACACCTGAAAGTCATTCAGCTCTACATCGCTAAGGGCATCATCCCGGTCATGATCACATAGTATGAAAATTCTTTTCAAAGCCCTGATACAACGAGGTTTTAGAGTTCCTGCTTCTTGATCAGCCAGTGGAGCTGCTGGGTAAAGGACAGCTTTCTGTGCAAAATAAAAAACTTCCACAACCTGTGATTTACAGAATACAGGCTTCAGAAGTTATCTAAAGATAACATATTAAACCCCCCAAAAAAAAAAAAAACTCCTCCAATCAATACGGGACCAACAGAATAAAAACATTATCTACACGCATACTCGTGCACAGACATACAGAGTAGACATGGGGTATTATAGATCCATAGTACAAATTATTACAGAGTTGCAAGATTATGTTATCCTCATCATAAAATTTCTTTATTGTTGCTTCGTGGCTCCTGAGGCTTAACTATCAAATAATGCAACTACCTTCAACAATGTCCCAATGCCAACCAGCAATATATGAAAGAGTAAATGATTTTAGGATGCTGGAGAGAAGTACAAATAACTGTGCAGTTACCTGAGTGACTCTAAATGCTGAACATTGGATACAAGTTTCAATCTCCGGAAACTGTTGCATGATTGGAGACATCACCTGCTCGAGATTGGTTGGGTCTTCCTCCTCCTGTGTATCTTGCCTACACCCCGCAACAATAACAGGAGCTGTAACCTGCATGAGCAAATAGAACCAACTTGACATTGGAAACTTACAAAGAATGAGTAACTCAAAGCAGCATCGCAACTTCTTCCATGTGTTAACTAATCAAAATCTGCATGCAAACAAATTTAATGTGCAAACCTCCAATCGCCGAAGTTCAGGAAGCCAGAACGAAGTCAAACTATCAAGTGTGGGGGGTCTATCACAGGAATAAGTGAGCACAATTGCATCAGCTCTCTTTAGTTCTTCAACAAGTGTCGTTCTGTTCTCGGTTCTGGATAATGCAGAAAGGGTCCAAAGTCAAATCTCGAATATACAAACATCACAAGAGAGTCCATGGTAGAATGTCAGAATTCAAAACAGCAACAACTAAGCCAATATTCCACCAAGTGGCAGTGGCCAAAAACTTTTTTACTTCATGTGTGCGCAAAACTGCGAGTATAGACTTAAATGGACTAGAAGGTACTTTTGAAAGTTCTGCTCCGCAGTCAAATCCTCTGGAAACAAGCATAGCAATTTGTACCCATTATAAACTGATTTGTATTACTATCAGAAAACTTATACACAAGCAATACCATAGCTTATTTTGCAGACAAATTTTCTTTTAAGATTCCAACAACCAAGCATAAACATGAAAATTCTGCATCACTAGCGATCATAAATTGACGATTGGGGGAAAAGTAATTCCAGTCGAACAGAATCAAACAAAACATAATTGACCATATGAGAGAACAGAAGCCTTCAAAATCAAACTAATTTTTTGAACACACAGCAGAACAGAAACAAGAATAATGTGTATACGCGAGAGTCGTGCCAACAAAAAAAAAAGTAAATAAATAAAAACCAAACCTCGAAGAAGTATCGATGACGGTGACAGGGACACGAGTTGGGAACATGTCCTCGGGAAGCTTAGCCGGCGGCAGAACTGACGGAACATTGGGAACAAAATGACCAGTGGAGGCAGCAAAAACCAAGCTCGTCTTGCCGGTCCCGGCATCACCGGCGACGACGATACGGATATCGCCGCTGCGATTATCTGAACCAACTCCCGCCATATTCACTACAGAGGAACACGAAGAAGAAGAAGAAGAAAGCAGCCAAAATTGGGAGAAAATTCGAATATTGGATTGAGGAATTGTGAATTTTGTGATGAGAGCTCCTCCAAAATCCTCTGTAAAACCCTCTGAAATCCGAATTTTTCTCTTTTATTATTCCGTCTCATGCAGATGCAGTAGTCCAAAATTCTCGGATTTAATTTGTAGTACTCGTCTAACAATTAATTAACGTAATGAAAAAGTTATATTAAAATAATAATAATCCCTTTGTTCTTGGGAAACAAGTCATCGACGTCTACTATTACTAGTGATGTCTGGTCGCGCAATGCGCGACTCTGGCCCAGTCTATCTGTAAATCTTAGAAATGTTTATATTTGAAAAAAAATAAAATTTTGTATTTGGAGCGATATATTTTAGAAATGTTTGAAGGATTTAGAAATGTTTTATAAGTGTGATCATAAAAATAATTGTATTTCACAAAAAAAAAAGAAATTATATTTCGCCATGTAAGTTATAGAAATATTTTATAAGTGTTACTTATTAAATATAAATAGCCTTAATCGAATATATGTATTGAAGTAAATGTTAGATAAAATATAAAAGCATCCTAATAAATTTAAATATTAGTAAGATGATTTATTGATGTTCGGTCGTGCCAAATCAATACTTAATTTTGGAGATTTTTAATAGCTTTGTAATAAGCTTCATCCGCAGGGTATACGCTTAAAACAAAATTGACACTTTGTAACAAAAACCTAATTGATCAATTTAACTTAAAAAACCACTCTAAATGAATGAAACATAAAGAAAAAAAAAAATTTAAAAAAAAACGTGTCACGTAAAGTGCAAAGGGAGATTTAGTAATTTAGTTATGGTTTAGACAAAAGGGTAATTTAGTACTTTCTATATGCCACGTGGCAATCATATGAGGTGTTTGAAAGGGAGGTTTTTGTTTCTAATATAGTAGGATATAGTATTATATGTGGACTAAAATGTTCAAATAGTCCCTTATATTTATGCCTACTTGAATTTACGACCCTAACATTAATATTTCAATATCGTAGTCCCAAACATTATGTTTTCAAACTTTTTCGGTCCCATTTCACTGTTTCCGGCTGTTGACATGCCGGAATCAGTGGTATTTTTGTCTTTTAATTTATTTTGAATTTTTATTAAAATTTAAATCATTAAAAATATTTTAAAATTCATTTCATTATTTAATTGTTAAAATATTATTTATTAATTAAAAATATTATTATAAAATTTTAAAATTTACATTATTTTCAAAATTAGTTTTTTCATTTATCATTTACCTTAGGTCAAAATAAATAGTAATTATGTTGCACTTTTAACCTTGGGCCCACAGTAAATAATTCAAAATTCAATTTCTTTAAAAAAGAAAAAGCAAAACTATTTTTTTTACTCTAACCACTACAGTAAACCCTAAATAGTAATTATGTTGCACTTTTAACCTTGGACATGCTATAACTTAAAAAATATACCGAGTTACAGTAAATAATTCAAAATTTAATTTTTTTTTTAAAAAAAAAGATAAAAGCAAAACCAAGATTTTTTTTTTTACTTTGACTGCTACAGTTGAATTTTGAATTATTTACTGTAATTCGGTAAATTTTTTAGGTTACAATGGGTCCAATGTTAAAAGTACAACATAAGGGTTTATTGTAGCTATCAATTACTTTGTTTTGTTTTTTCTTTTTTTTTAAAAAAAATTGAATTTTAAATTATTTATTGTAACTCGGTAAATTTTTTAAGTTATAGTGGGTCCAAAGTTAAAAAAGCAACGTAGCGGTCAGAGTAGAAAAAATCTTGGTTTTTCTTTTTTTTTGGGAAAAAAATTGAATTTTGAATTATTTATTGTAACTCGATAAATTTTTTAAGTTACAGTCGGTCCAAGATTAAAAGTGCAACATAATTACCATTTAGGGTTTACTATAGCGGTTAGAGTAAAAAAAATCTTGGTTTTGCTTTTTCTTTTTTTAAAAAAAAAAATTGAATTTTGAATTATTTACTGTAACTCGGTAAATTTTTTAAGTCACAATGAGTCTAAGGTTAAAAGTGTATTATAATTACCATTTAAGGTATACTGTAGCGGTCAAAGTCAAAAAAAATCTTGGTTTTGCTTTTTCTTTTTTTTAAAAAAATGGAATTTTGAATTATTTACTGTAATTCGGTAAATTTTTTAAGTTACAGTGGGCCTAAGGTTAAAAGTGTAACATAATTACCATTTAGGGTTTACTGTAGCGGTCAAAGTAAAAAAAATCTTAGTTTTGCTTTTTCTTTTTTTAAAAAAAAAATTAAATTTTGAATTATTTAATGTAACTTAGTAAATTTTTTAAGTTACGGTGCGCCCAAAGTTAAAAGTATAACATAATTACTATTTACTATGTACTTAAAGTAAATAGTAAATGAAAAAAGTAATTTTAAAAATAATGATAAATTTTAAAATTGTATACTAATATTTTTAATTAATAAATAATATTTTAAAAAATAAATAATGAAATTTGAATTTTAAAATATTTTTAATGATTTAAATTTTAATAAAAATTTAAATTAAATTAAAAGATAAAAATACCCCTGATTCCGACTTGTCACCGGCCGAAAATAGTGAAATGGGACAAAAAAAAGTGTGAAAACATAATGTTTGTAACTATAATATTGAAATGTTAATGTTAGAGACGTAAATTCAAGTATGCCCAAATGTAAGGGACCATTTGGACATTTTAGTCTTATATATGTGTTCGCGCGAGTGTTGGTTCTTTTTAATCTGTTCGTCCTAAGATAATTATTTTGCTTCAATTTTGAATAACTATTATTATTAACTCCGTCATCGTAGTTTCACATTGTTATAAACTTATATTGTATCTTTGATTTTAATTAATTTCTTTTTTTTTTTAAAAAAAGAAAGGTTTATCAGCTTACTAATATGGTATTTTGGTGAACTACATGAAAATGTACCATAATTGGCTTAAATAAATATTCCATAATACAACCACAAAACCAATAATTTGAAGCAACCCAAAAGCTTCTTTTCCAACTACGTTGTAATTGTTTTCACATTTTTTAGTTTTGAAAAAAAAAAAAGGAGGGATCTAGAGTTTCTGTAGATCCTAAGAGTCCAATTAATTAAATGTTTAGAATCATGAGGATGGTATGGCTAGATACTCTCACAGAATGTATCCCCTAGAAAATAGTCCATTTCGGTGAACTAAAACAATATATTTTCTTTCTTAAAATAATCGTCATGTCTGTTTTTTGTTTATTAGATATTTTATGTAAATTAAATAACTATTTTGAGACCACAATAAAAAAAAAGTTCTTCACACAAAATGCAGTTCTTTTTGCATCCCACAGCCATTGAATGGGCTTCACCCGAGGTACACACTGAGATATGTGTCAAGACCGGGTATTATCCGGTGACAAAATTGCAAGAGTCCTTCGCCAAGAAGACGTCGGAAACTAGGAAAAGGAGGGGAAAACGGCAAACCGTTCCGGCTTTTTCAATTACTGAATATTTTGATATTTTTCTATTACGGCCAATATCGGACATTTATACAATTTGGGTCAAGACTTATTAATTGCGGAATTACAAAATTACCCTATATTTCTAAGTATTTTCAATTTGACCCAGGGCATGACAATATCCCCTGGAATGTTGGCCCAATATCTTTGATCCAAACGGCCCCCAGGAATTTTATTTATTCTTTTTGGAACATAGTTGATTAGCCCCTCAGTATGTAAAAAAAAATATATATAGTTGATTAGCATGTCCGATTCTAATTAATAGTATCAATCAAAAAAAAAAAAAAAAAAACACAAAAGATAGCGTCACTCACCCTAACAAAAGGATCATTTCACAATTAGTCTATCCAATACGAATAATCCCTTTTAGTCTAATTCAATCTAATTTATAAAGAGTAATTTTTTATGATGATGTATCGAGAAAAAATTTAATTTACTCTGAAGTCCTAAATTGCACAGTCATAAAAATGAGTGGTAGTGGGAACTTAAATTTTTCAAGAGATTAAAAAGTTTCCTCCATAAATTGAGTCACCTTATAAGAAGACTTGAACTATAATCTCGTGTTAATAACATTTTTCTGTTTTACTATCTTATCTAAAAATGTAACTTTCACACTTGAATAATATTCAAGAAAAATTCTTATTGCTCTTAGTCCCTACATGGCACATTAAGTTCCTACAAAGCAAAAGTAAAAGACAATGATAAAGAGGATTTGAAGTTTGGTAGTGCGTCTTAACAGCATTTTGGGGCAAAAGATTAGAGAAAGAGATTAAGTTAATGGCCTACAATTTCAGATACCAAATCTTCCTTATTATTATTCCTTTACCACCTTTTCCCTTCCGACCTTATCATTTCTTTTGACAATTTAAGTTGTTGATAATGATTCCTTGAATTCCATTCTACATTTTTGCCTCTAAAAGACATTTTTAAATCTTAGAGCTATAAACATCATCCAAAATCAGAAGGTGGTCCTAAACATTTTCAAAAATTAACAAGCGGTTTATCCCCTTCGATCTTATTTCTAGTGTTTTAATCTTTATCTCATAAATAGACCAAGCGATTATTAATTTTTAAACTAGTAGAAATGAATTAATCCCCACAAACAAATCAACCACTAAGGTTGAATTTTATGTCGATAAAATGAAGTTGAAAACATTTTCGAATTAAATGTGTCATGATCAAAAGTATCATCAAAGTTACACTTGACATCTAGTAATCTACATTTCTTAAAAGTATCGTTAATTATTATACTCCCTACGCCCCAAAATTATTGCTTAGTTTAAATTTTTCATTTTAGTGCGAATTGAACTAAAAGTGAAAATCCAAACTAGACAATGATTTTAAGACTAAGAGAATACTTGATATATTAAAATTTGATGTGAATTATTTTTTTGAAACAGAAAAAGTATGTAAAAAAGAAAAAAGAAGAACTGTATTTTTCCCCAACAATAAGTGCTACACAAAAACCCAACCATGTTGATTTGACATATTCGTTTTTTTCTCATAAGTTTACGATGAAGAAATAGTTACAATCTGACAAAGTAAAGTGAATAATTGCACATTGCATATGTACGAAAGCAAATTATCTTCTCCGTTTTTAAATTATTGTTTTGAAATTATTGTCTAATTTATATTTTAATTTTTGGTATAAGTTAAACTAAAAATAAAAATTTTAACTGGACAATAATTTTAAGATAGATGAGCTCTAATTTTAATTTTGGGACAAAAGATGTACAAGAAAATAAAAAATGGCTAGAAAATCCAAGATGATGGCCCCGAAAGGCAAACGGGGTCTTTCTGTGTGATTCTAGTTGCCTCCTTTTTTATCCCAACTTCATGTTGACTTGATTTGTAAAAATAATGTGCTACTATTAATATTACCTTACCTTCTTTTGAATCTTTTCTATCCTCTACTTGCTTAAGAAGAAAGCACAGAAGCAGAGATAGGAGACACACTCAGGCCTATGGCCTCCTTCTTTGTACCAAAAAAAAGAGATAGGAGACACACTATGTTCCTTTGAGCTCTTTAATTCCTCCATTTTGTGTCTCCAAAAATAAGCTGCAACTAACAAGTAAACAGATATTTTCAGTAAGTTCTTTTTTTCTCCATTTTGTTAAAATTCATTGTCTTCTGTTTATCTGAGGTAAACTCTGTTCTGCATTGCTCATTTGTTAGTATATAATGGCTTGGGCAAGAATCATTTTCTGGCTCTTATCTTATCTGACTTCAAGTTTTGCATCAAAGCATCCTTAAACCTCAAAAGGGTTGGGTAAAAAGAAAGAGGCAGGGAAAAAAGCTTTTTGGTTCTTGGTTCTGCTGTAGCTTTGGAAGCCTTCTATTTCTTGATGTTTGTTCTGTTTCGTTCTGTTTCTCAACAGGTGAAAAGGGTTATCAGATTACTGTTAATCTCAGAAGTGTGTTTTCTTTTTTCTTTTGGAAATTTTCAATTGCAGTAATGAAGCGTTTTGTGTCTAAGATTTTTGGTGTTGTGTGTGTTTCAATAGCAACTTTTACCTTTAACAATGCGTAAAAAGTTGACAATAACACAACTGCAATTGCCATACCTGAGTGCCTTTGCTGAACCAAAAGGTACAAAAGCATGATATTTGTTTTGATGGTGCTGATAATTAAAGGTGCCATAATTTCCCACTTGAAAGGGGGGCTCAAAAATTTCTGAACAACTTACACACTTGAACATGAAGTCTGGAGCCTGCAATTACCAGAAGATGTTTTGTTAATAAGGAACAAAGTAAGAACTGAAAAGGGCTAAAAGCAATAATTTATTCCCTTTTCAAAATTAGGCATGCTGTTGCCATTAGGCTAAACTTGAAGTAACTTTTAATCAAAACTTTGAAATTCAAGAACAGCTACATATTTCTTTGTCCCTCTCCTTCATTTAGACCATAACTGGTAAAGAGTCGAATCAGATTTTTGTAAAAACTTTTGTATTGCTAGCTGCAGCATTGGTTAGACATGGGAGCGCAAGCACTCAACCGCCGATCTCCAGACCAGAAATCTGGCAAAGTTATCGGAGGATTAGAAGATTATGACAACGGTGAGACTCCAAGAGTTTTGGCCTTGCTTGCTTCAATGCTCGAAAAATCCATTCTGAAGAATGAGAAGTTACTCAAGGGATCAAATAAGAAAGAAGTTGTGACGGTTTTCCACGGTTCACGAGTACCTGCACTGAGCATTAGGCAGTACATTGAGCGCATCTTCAAGTATGCAAACTGCAGCCCTTCTTGTTTTGTTGTTGCATACATTTACTTGGACAGATTCCTCCAACAGACGAAAAGCTGCCTCACTTCTCTAAATGTTCATCGGCTTCTGATTACCAGTTTCGTGTTAGCTGCAAAATACGTCGAAGACGAGTAAGTAAAAATTTGACATTTTTTGCACTTTATAGAAGCTGGAATTTTTCTGCAGAAATCCTGCAAGCAGTAGTCTCTCATTTTGACCCTTCTTCCAGAAAATGGCATACACTAAGAGAGCCATTGAGTGTTTTCATATGGTTGAATTGTTGATATGATTTGGCTTGCTTTTCAACTTGAAGATACAGTTAGATTGAGAAATTGTATCACATTTAAGATAAGAAGAAGATCATTTATCCTAAACAAGTATACTAATTGTGTTTTATAGATGTGTACTGAATGAGTCATAATATATTTTTGCAGGTGTTATAACAATGCGTATTACGCAAAAGTTGGGGGAATAACCACTTCGGAAATGAACAAGCTGGAAATGAAGCTGTTGGTTAATTTAGAATTTAGACTCCATGTCGATGTTCAAACGTTTGACGATTTCTGTTTCCTGATGGAGGAGGCTTCAGTAAAGTCTGAAAACCAAAGCGAAAAACCATTTCGGTTTTGCGGATTAAGGAAGGGATTCACAGGTAAAGATGGTTCAAGCTTCAGTCCAACAATACAAGGATATTCTTGCAGGGCCATCTAAGAAAATGATGAGTTTTACCATCAATCGTTATAGCCCTGCGTCTAGGATTGGCAGAAGGGTTCCCAGTTTATGGTACTAGCTCCTTTTACTGCTACAGTCGCCCAAATATTTGGGCAGATATTGAAATCATATGTTTACCATAGTATCAGCATCGTACTCCAACTTTGGTGATGTCTTGTAACTGAAATTGTCGATTTGTTTCGTAGTTTGATGTAATTTACGAATTGCATACGATAAGAGGTAATGATGCAAACAGAACAATCTCAATCGGGGTGAGATGAGGACTCAGTCAATACTAGAATCTCATCAAAATTTGTGTCAAAAACCAAGATAACCCGACATTGACAGGGAATTCCAACAGAAAACTGCAAAATTTTAGGTTTCATATTGTAAGATTTTATCATACACCCACCCTTAGCATAATGAACTATTATTCCTTTTGCGCACCTATATCCCGCCATAAGAAATTCATCGCCACGAACGGCATAGAAGAAACTAAAAGCTAAACAACACAGGGAAGTTAATACATATAATTTTGCCCATCTTCAAGTTTCTCCACTCAATAGGATAGGATTTGGATGTTGTGGCACTTAGCAAAGCCATGGTACATACAAACTCCAATAATGGTGATGAGAACGATGCAATCTTGTTAACCTAACCAGAGGAGTTCTTTCTCGCTGCATACACTCGGTAGGTAGCCACTCCCACAACAGCTATTGCCGCTCCAACTGCAAATAGCGAGTGGCAGTTGTTATGCCAATTAGTAACAACCAAGAGCACTAACAAAACATAACTACATTCACAAAACGAGTAAAGGCTTTAACAATCAGAGTAACATCATGGGCATGTCCAATACCATATGGTACCACTTGCAAGTTGCAATGAACAATACCCTCATCGGTGATATAGCTGAACTTAAGAGGTCAAACTTCAAAACAAAATCCTCAACAATACTGAATGAAGAAAAGGTTTATTACCCATAAAACTTGAAGCTATAGTTGCAATAATGGAAAAGAAATTTCAAATAATTAATATACCTGATGCAAACATCAAAGAGCGATTAATCAACCGATGATATTGTTTGCGACTTTTCCCAGCTTCAGTTTCAGGTATACTCAAATGGGGGTGCTCTGCAGCAGTAACAATTCTACGGAAAATATTATTCAGATCTCCAAGCTTTGCACTGATTGGTATGGGAGCTTCTATCCCCAGATCTTGACTAACCTATTACATAAAATAGGTCACATAAGAAATCATATTTAAAAAGTACATATTCCAGCCAAAGCAACTTAAAGCTTGAAAGCAAAATGGGAGGGAAACTCCAACCAAACTTGGAAGAGAAAACACTTTTAAAGGAAATTAGTCAATGGATCATATACCAGGTAGAAAGGTTTACTACTACAGAAATGAAGGTCATTTCTCTTCAAAATGTAAGCTGGATTCAGAAAAGAAGTGTTCTAGTGTCATTCTCAGCTACGTTCGATTTTACTTTTGATCAAATGCAGAAATGTCAATGAAGTGTACTACACTATACAGAAGTCTGGATGTAGAGCAGAATTTCCAAAGCTGACTGTTGCCAACATGGCAGCTGAGGTCAAGTTAAATATAGTATTCCAAAGCTGACTGTTGCCAACATGGCAGCCAAGTACAGAGGTCAAGTTAAATATAGTATTACTAACAACGACTTCATGCATAAATGCTACTCCCCCCTGTCCCAGAAAATACTACACTTTGAGATGCATACAGCACATAAGATACGTAATCTTACTGAAATACACATATAATCCAGTTGCCTTGTAATAGACACCACAGAAACAGGATATCAGAATATACCCTTGTTGAATCTTGAATTTCAGTTGGATATGGGTCGAGATCATCTTTAGCTGCAGCTATGAGACAAGGAACCTCATAACCAGTAGACTCACCCTGGCTAGCTACACTATGTAACAACTCGGTTGCCCTTTTCCATGAAGATTCCCGAGATCTGAGGTCACCAATTGGAAAGATTAACAATCAGAAATCAATAGTCTCCCATATTAATTGCATGTACTTGAGAAACTGAAAATTTGAAAATCACGAAGAACTTTACAGAAGCACAGAGGAGTCAAATGCAATCTAAAGATTTAAACGAACAGAACTATCATAAAAAATTGCATAAGTGCCTTTCAAAAACCAATACCATGCAAGCATAGGATGCATTCTATATTCCACAATGGGCAAACATCAAAAGAAAAGAAACCAGAAACTGACACTATCTTAATAATTTCAAACTCGTCCAAAGGCCATAATGCACTTCAAACAATTGTGCACCAGAAACATCCAAAACATATAACAAGACATATGAAGGTAATCAAATTAGACAAAGAAGCAAGCAAATTGTCGCTCAAATATAAAGAAAAAAGGCTGATAATGAAGTCGTTTCTGCTACCTGTCATGCACAAATATAGCAACATCACATGATGCCAAAGCATCTTTACTCGATAGAAACTTCTCCACATGATCCTCTGGAATCTCACGCAGAACGAGTGTTTTCCTGGTGCCCTGTAAAAAAATGTATATCATGATACAAGAGTTTGCTATGATGTAAATGCACCAAAGAAAAACATAAACAAAAATGTGGAAGCAGAATATCAGATAAAGACTACATTTAATAAATTTGTGAAGTGTATCTTACCTCTGTCTGATCAACAACAACATGGACAACATAATGATTATCAGTAGTAGTTGGAACATAATCCTCAGGGAAAGGCCTGCACAGGAACAGCAATAACTCATCATACGAAATCAACAAACAGGTTAGGTGAAGCTTCTGGATTTCCAGTACAGTAATACAAGTCATACCTTCCAGGAAATGAATCCAATATAGTTGACTTTCCAGCCTCTTTGGGTCCAAACACAAAGCACTGATACACATTTCTGTCTGACTGTTGCTTTTTACGATCTAACCGTCTCCTCCGAGTAATACGAATGGCAGATGAAATATCACCAGTATATCCGATGTAAATCAGATATTCAAAACAACGAATGGGGTCCAGAAGTGCCATAAGAGCCCACTGTGTACAATGAGAAAGAAAACAAAAGAACTTACAACTTGAAATACTTAAAAGAAATAACAGCAAGCAAAGAAAATGAACCCATAGAAAAAAATCAAAGAAATACTTATTAAGGAAAGACCAAACAAAAAACGTAGAACCAACTCTGAGCTTGCATTTTTGGTGCCAAACTAACCAGTATTAAGAAATGCTCATTCCATCTCAGGGAACAATCTGAAAATCATATGCGTGATCATCACTAAATATGAGAACCATCTTATGTTCATTTTGATTCTGAGTGACCTACAATGTAAATTTTAACCCTTACCCATCCATAATACAAAGAGAATACAGCCAAACGCAGAAAAGGAAAACTTTCAAGCCTTTTTTTCTTTCTGTTTTTTTTTTTTTTTTTTTTGGCAACCCACCCATCATTGATAAAATCCAAATAAACAAATCAAAGCTTTCGGATTTTGGACTTCGAAAAATTTTACACAGTGAAAGGCAGGATCCTGATCTCACTTTCCACCTACCTTTAAATATGTAGCACCTTCTAGACTTATTGGCTAGACAGTTCTTCACTAATGCGTTGGACCAATCAAGATCATAAAGAATCATCATAAGAAAAAGATAGTCTTCACATAAAAAGGCAGGACGAAGCTTAGTTTGGCAGCTGCTTTATCAGGTACAGCGCCCCCAAAGGACCTAACCACTCTTCTTCTCTAAACCTTATTCAAAGATTCCCATGCATCCCAGTAAATACAACGAACCCATTAGTACTACTGAAAGATACACATTACAGCATCCCATCCACTTGTGAGAGACGAGTGGATATACATATTTAGGCACCTAACCAAGATGATATTGGATAATCATTTCATGCCATATAGCTTTGTGCAAATCTTTATCAGAGAAGTTACAAATTTATACAACTAACCCTCTTTGGCTTGTCCTATCATATGTCCTGGCATCACCAGAGCAAAATGTGGTAGTTTGACAAACTGATTACTAGAAAGATGATGGAATAGACAAAGAACCCATCATACATTAAACTGTGAACATAAAAGAGGAATTTTAAACACCCACCTCGGACAGAAACCCATCTACTGTAAGCCCACCAAGAGGGTTTTTCTCTGCAGCATCTTTATAGGGTGCTTCATTCCAAGGACTGGACAGAAAATGTTTAATTATGAATAGGTAAAATGACAGCAAAATGCAAGTTATTAGATACATGGCAACAAAAAACCAAAGGATACCAGAAAAATCATTTTTCTTTATACCAATGCAGAGATGTAAGTATACTGAAGACTTCGATTTTGGAAGCTATGTCATGTCCAGTTCATGATCAAGGTAGTGGGCCCTGGTGAGAACTAATTGGTATCTTAAAAAGAGAGGAAGTCAAAGACAACAAGGACTTCTTCTCAGTAAAGGTTAAGGCAGTGAGAACTTTCCCTGCAGTTGTAGTACAACTAAAGAAGCACACCTCCGCATGCATCCCTTAAATACTAATACGTAAATTTCACAACCTATGCATAATTAGTGATTAACGGTTTGGTTTCCCTACTAGACAATATGATGCAAAATATCAGCTGGATCAAAGATTCGTGACAGTATCAAAGGTTGCAACATAAGAAAGTTTCACAGTACTTCTCTGGTGCAGTTGAAAATAAATCTTCAACTTCGGGAGTTCTGAGCGATCCATCCTGAAAGAATTCACAACCAGAAAAAGGTTCATCTTTCTCGTTTAGCTGAAAAATGAAAAAAATTAGCAATAGATGCAAGAGCAGAGATCTCATCAAAATATATTTATTTAAAAAAAAAAAAACCAACAGAAGTTAGCATGGTTTTACCAATATCAAACACACAGAAACTTCAAGCACATCAACAAGCAGAGAGCAGTAACATCAACTTCCATACTCTCACATTTACAGCCTCTAATTCGCATGGAAACATTATAATATTGATAACTGATTACCATACTCAAAAACCATTAACAAAGCAAATGATGGTATTCACATCCTTAACCATCCATAAAGGTGTTGCACTTTTTTCCCCTAAGAAAAGTAAACAAAAAGCAATAAAACAATAGCCTAAACATAATTTCGCCCTTGGAGGCCTAAAACCAAAAAATCGAAGGAAATTGAGATACCTCTCTCTATAGCTACATGGAGAGTTCCAACCAGAAACCTCACACATGATAATAATGTCTAACCAAGAACACTCAACCTTTTAGTTGATTACAATTACTTCAAATAAGGAAGATTCCCGAACAGTAATTCAGGACAAAAAAAGGAATAAATTTGAGGGATAGCATCATAGCCACCGCACTGGTGTTCCAAAACCCACCAAAGGAGCATGCATTATTCTACCAAAATATGCAGGTCATGCTCCAGAGTTTAAAGAAAGGAGCACCGGAAACAATGAATCTGGACACTTACAAATTCAATGCAAACAGTCCTCATTCACACAGAAAAAATGAAATGAGTTCAAAAAACAAATGAACAAATAACTCCAAGTATAAGGTTACAGTAGATAAAATAGGGGCAAAAACTTACACCATCAATGTCATATGTGAAAAAAATTCCCCGCAGGAAATCCACAGCATCATTTGTTAACTCTGCACTCTGTAGATAAAAAGAGGCATAAGCACTTGCAGGATACAAACAAAATGAAGGTAAGGAATCCAATAGCAAGCCAGAATTGTGGGTGTGGGGGGACCACCAGTACGGAATGACAAGAGAGATATTAAAACCACATAAAAAACTGACAATACATATATCAAATCCATGAAGATAAAAAAGAAAACAGATCTAAGACCTATTTCACCAATTAATGTCAAGTTAATCTGCAAAAAAAATCCTCATCAGTAAATTAAATGTCAAAGCATGGTAAGTTCATTCTTTCCCACAGATGCCTTCTACAAATAGATAGATGCATCGTGGTCAACATAACTACTACAACATGCTACATCATCCTGACATCAAGAAGAAGGTTGGGCTGAACAAACAGTGAAGGAACACAGCCTATGGTTTAAAACAGGAATAATGCAAAAACTTCGCAAAGCAATAACAGGTATCCAATCTCACAGAGATAAGTAAGTTACATAGTAAATTAAAATAAAATATTGGTGTAATACCTGAAAATGATAAGAACCTAAAACTAACAGAAGAAATTAAGGAATGAATCATCAACAATGACCATGTATCAATCAATATCAAACAATTTCATACTTGGTCAGGGTGTCTTTTGAATGGAGGAGGAAGCCTGTCATCAGCAAGTCTGATTTCGTTATTATATCCAAATTTTCTCAGGACAGTCCATGTTGTCTCCAGACGACCCTTCTCTATAAAGAGAGCATGCAGAAAGAGGAATCCTGTCAATGTAAGACCCCTGTCGTTAACACCTTCGGGCAATTTCTCCTGCACAACCCTCTTAACACCACTTATTTCTGAAGGCTGTAATGGAGCATTGAAGCACTTGACCTGGGCATAAGTAAAGACTATTTCAAATTAGCATCACAAACAGCAACTGCTTTTCACAAGAAGAGCTCATAAAGGTTTTTGAACAAACAACGTATTCTTCGAGAATTCCAAAATAGAACTAAGGTTCATTACTCGTGGCAAACAAGAATCACACCTGAAAGTCATTCAGCTCTTCATCACTAAGGGCACCATCCCGGTCATGATCACATAGAATAAAAATCCTTTTCAAAGCCCTGACACAACGAGGTTTCAGAGTTTGTGCTTCTTGGTCGAACAAAGGAGCTGTTGGGTGAAGGACAGCTTTTTGTGCATAATAGAAAACCTCAGCAACCTGTGATAAACCGAAATGAGCTCTCTATAAAAGGATCACAAGTTCAGAAAGCTAAAGAAACACTCAACAAGCTCCTGCCTCAGCTATTGAATGTTTCAAAATGCTCAAAAAGTACGTTTAGAGTGAATTTACCTGAATGATTTTGAATGCTGAACATTCAATACAAGTTTCAATCTCCCGGAACTGTTGCATTATTGGAGACATCACCTGCTCGAGACTGATTGGGTATTCCTCATCCCGCTTATCAAGCATACAACCAACTACAATAACAGGAACTCTAACCTGCTCGAGCAAACAGAAACCAACTTGATTCAGGACACTAAGAAAGAACATGAAGTTTCAAGCAGTATTAACGAATCAAATCCTGGATGCAAACATGATGATCTGCAACTTATGTACAAACCTCCAATCGGCGAAGTTCAGGAAGCCAGAACGAACTCAATCTATCCAGTGTCGCAGGTCTATCACAAGCATAAGTCAGCACGATTGCATCAGCTTTCTTTAGTTCTTCAACAAGCTTATTTCTGTTCTCAGGGCTGCATGGTGCATTAAAAAGGTGCAAAAATCAAATACCAGTTATAGAACATCACGAGAAAGTGGATGGTGATATGTCAGAATACACAAGAACGAATAACTACTCTTGTCTCCCACTATGCATAGTCGACTACGAGGTTCGTGCCTAGACAACATACCATTTCAAACCCACAGTATAATTTCAATAGACCAAAAGACATTTTTTACAAGTACTCTTTGCTCAACAAACACCTCCACTGAAAACAAAAGCAAACACAAACAAAGATCAGGTCAACATATTCGATAGACTGGGCCTATACTTCATTGCTTCATGTAAACAGATTGTTTTCTCTTTTGAAATTATAAACTGCTTGCAGCTAATTTTCTCCATTTTAATCTGATTTTTACTACTCCAAAAATTGTACACACACACAATGTCATAGGCTCTTTTGCAGTCAGTTTACAAATCTAACACAAATTAAAACATAACCGTCCATATACGCCAACGTTTCAAAAATGTTCCAACAATTGGAACCAAAATTTCAATTTCTGAATCCAAGAAACGAGTAATAGAAACACACAAACCTAATTAATCGGATGAGAAGACAACAGCCTCAACATTCAAATAATTCTAAACACAGAAGCAAAGAACGATAATAATGTTTATGCAGTAGAGTCATGTATAACACACCTTGAAGAGGTGTCGATGACAGTGACCGGGACACGATCAGGGAACATGTCCTCGGGAAGCCTAGTCGGCGGCAGAACCGGAGGAACATTGGGAGTGAAGGTATCAGAGGCGGCAGCTAAAACCAAGCAAGACTTGCCGGTCTTGGCATCTCCGGCGACGACGATACGGACACCGCCAGGATTCTTAGAACCACCTCCCGCCATTCACTGGAAACGCAGGAGAAGAAGAGAACAAAAACACCAAAATATGGCAAGAAATTAGAAGATTGATTTTGATAGCTCTCTAAAACCCTAAGTACTGCTGAGCTGAAGAATCCGAATTTCTATTATGTACTGTATTTTCTTTCTGAACCAGTCAAAAAAAAACAAAAAGGAAATCACAATAGATAATAAAAATTAAAAAAGGAGAAAATAAAACACGCACACACACAGTAGGATATAAAATCAATACAAGGGAGGCACCTTTCTGAAATGTGAGACTTGGAGAAGAAGAATTTGATGGAGAGAGAAGTGGATGAAATAAAAAGAGGGGTTTTCTTGAGCTAGGGTATACCAGTAGTCCAGTAGAATGTAGAATCAGCCCAGCCACGCACCGTAACCGCTTTTTCTTGTTTCTGTTCTCATCACTTTTTTTTTTGTTTTTGGGTTAAATTTCGATTATTATTACTCAATGAAAATGCCCGTAATATTTGGATTTTTCTTTTCTTCCTCAAAAGAAAATTCTTTTACCCTCTTTACTTTTTACAGTTATACGATTGTATTACTGCATCACATAGTTGTAGTATATTCATTTTATAAAGTTATTTATTACATCACTCCTTATGTTTAACATCAATTATTTTTACAATGTCTATTCAAAATAGTCTTTCCTACGTTCTATAAAAATATCATAAAAATCTGACTTTTTTGAGACGAAGAAAATGTTAAATTATTTAAAATTATACATAATTTTTGTTAGAATTTCATACTACTGTGTTTATTTCATACTACGTGAAATGAATTTTTGTTATTATTTTATATATATGACATCATTTATCGTATTATTTCATCACGTATTTTTATTGGTTTTATTTTTTTTATTTCTTTTTTTTCAAAGACGATAATCTTATATCAATAAAACTAACGTATATAATTACAGAAAATTAGGTTACAACAACCTGTGATTGAGATATTACAATTTACTTATTACACGTTATACCTAACCGTATCATAAAAGATGCATGCCCTAATAATGTGTACAATCTTAGACTAAACTAAATTCGTTAAATGTAGCAACATCTCTGATTCTAATTACAAAATAAAAAAAATTCCACATCTAAATAAATACAAAGATAACATTGATACAATTATAAAAATGAAATCTGAGCATCCTCGAAAGGAATTGAGATTCTTTATCTAACTAGGAAGTCCCAGAAGTGTTGTAGATCCTTCATTTGCAAACTTTTTTTTTTTTTTGCAAGAAGTTTATCATTTTATTAAACAAACAGTCATTACATCTTACATCGTGAGGTGATAATCTATGTTATGCACTCCTTTTAAACTCACATTCATCTTCAAATTCTTCGACCAACTATGAATCTATATTTTACAACATGAAAATGAGTGTCAAGAACCATATTGGATCTAAGTGTCAGACTCGTAAATGTTATAAAATTAAGGTACGCGTTAACCAAAAAAAAAAAAAAATAAGGTAAGCCGGTATAAATTTATACTCGAATATGGGTACGAGAATACTTCTTAAAACTAATACAACTATAAAAAAAATAATGGTACATAATTATTTCTTCTTCTATTCCGAAAAAAAAAAATCTATATTGAGTTTTGATATTTGTACTAAAAACATTACAAATCTCAAAACTCAATGGTAACTATTTTTTATTTTTTTATGAGACGGAGGAATACTTTATTGGTATTGGATGAGAAATTAGGAGGATGATGATTATCATTATCTAAAATTTATAGGGTTTAAGAACTAATAAAAAAAAGTTAATTTCTAATTAATTAAAAGTATAAAAATCTTAATAATCATTACACATATTTAGTCTTGGATAAGAATCAGTATTTACGAGCCTATCCATGGCTATGATACTATAATAAGGACATAATAGGGAATGAGAAGAGAAAGAGGGAGAATATGAGAGAAATTTACAGAAAAATCAGATCCGTCAATATTGAATTTATATGAACAACCTAGGATCAATATCCTTAACACGCCAACCATACAGCTTTTAATCGAGGTAACCCTACTCATATAATTCATGGGGTTTAAGAACTAATAGAAAAAGAGTTAGTTTCTAATTAATTAAAAGTATAAAGTCTTAATAATCATTACAAATTTTTAGTTCTCTAAACTCTATCACTATCTTTTTCTATCTCAATGTTGCCCTCCTCTTATTTAATATATCCTCTTCTTAATTTTTTCTCCTTTTTTTTCTCATATAAACCTCTTATCTTTTCCACCTCTTTACTTTCCTCCTCTCTCTCTCTCTTATTCTTTCTATCAAAAAAATAAAATAAAATAAAACGAAGAGCAATTTCCAATAATGAGAAAACAAAACTCCTACAGCGGAAGATGAAAAACTCCCAGAGAATCTACAACTAGAAAATCCAAATAAAAATGTTTGAATTTTCTATCCACCATAAATGGAGGATGGAAGAGAGATTTTTTTTTTCAAAATAAATAACGTCTCTCTTTTTTCTTTTTTTTTTTTGTACAAAAAGGGAGCCTCATACCTAAATTAAGTTACTACATTTCGGGGGTACGAGACCCCTGATACATCATGGCGTAGCCAGTTTACGGCTTCCGTTGGAGGGTTGATCAGTTCCCTAACACCCCATTCTTCATGTTCTCTCATCCCGACGAGTGCGTCGGCCACGAAATTCGCTTCTCTATAGATGTGGCTCAAAAAAACAGTCCATTCTCTGTCCAACAGTTCCCATAGCCCTAATTAATTCCCCATGGACACCGGTAGGCTACCTCTGGTTCTTGATCAGTCTCGCTATACTATCAACTTCTGAAACAATCATCCTCTCCCTTAAGTCCTAGGCCAGTGTTAGGCCTTGCCAAATCTCCCATAATTCTGCCCCAGTTATTGACGTGGCCCCAATATTAACAGTAAATAACGTCTCTCTAAAAAAGAGAAAAAAATGAAGTTCTTCATGTATTTTGTCATCTGATATTTTTTACAATTAGTTTTTAGCTACAGAGAAGTGATCAATTTTAACCTTTTTTTAATATGTGATTGACTGCCTCACGTCTATTACTTTGTTTACCTTTTTATTAACAATTATTTGAAATTATAGATAGTTTTTTACTGCAACACAAAACCATTATAAGTCAAAATAGTTGGTTAATTATGACAATGACCTTAGAGGTAAACTGCTCACTATCACAATGACAAATTGTATTATTTGGATTTATTTTTTTTAAAAAAAATTGAATTATGATCCTCCGTATTTTTAGCCACTTTTTCGTAGAAATTTTATTTTTCCGCCAAAATTATATTTTAAAATATCCTAGATTAAGTATATATGTTTAGTGGGGTGATATTTTTGTCCTTTCATAAGTCAATATCTCATTTTACTATAAATTGTCACTATTCCTATCATTTCTATATGCATATTATGCATATTGCAAACCATGATTTATAGTTTCAGCATTATCAAATTCAAATTTCATTTTTTTAATATTTGAAATGTGTTTATAACAATGCATAAACTAAAGTGTGACTCTCAACAGTACGCGATGAGTAAATTGAGTACCTCGTATATATCACAAGAGGGAGAGTGAATATTGTGGGGGGAAAACTTGAGTTTGTAACCTAAGTTAGAGAAAGAGAAGTTTTAAGAAATGTTGGTGTTCAATTTGTATATACCAAAAATGTTCAATACCTGCATTATACTGATTTTGTACTGAGGTCATTCTAATGATATGCAGTAAATAATATAGGAAATAATTGCGCATCGTGCAATAGAGATAATTGTATGTATTAGTATTGCACTTCCTCGGTCCCAAAATTATTGTCCAGTTTATATTTTCATTTTTAGTACAAATCTATATCTTTATATATATTGAAGGAAAGTTTTCAATCGGACACATGGCGTAAAATTAGATAGGCTAATCCACATGACGAAAAATTAGAAAGCCAAGTCCACATGTCGCAACCACAACACTCCATCAGTTAATATAATATTTTTAATATAAAACTGTAAATTCATAAATAAAAAACTAAATTAATTAAAAATTAAAGAAAGAAAAAAAAGGTAATCTTATTTCCTTTTGCTATCAATTGCCAATACGGCATTGGTATTGCTCTGCCTAAAAAACCAATTGACACTTTAATATAGGAAAACAATTCGTCTAATTGTATTACCTCATATCAAGTTTGATAATTCTAATTGAGTTAATGCTATAAAAAATAATGTAATTTTTAGTTTGAAAACAGGAGACCATATTATAGCTAATTATTTAGAATAATTCGTATCACAATCACATCACTCTATCATTTAATGGTAACTTTTTAATATAAAATTATAAATTTATAGATAAAACTAAATCACTTAGTAAAGAAATTACTCCTTAACGGTAAATTTTAATGATAAAAAAAGAGAAGTGGCCAAACAAATTTCAAACTAATAAATTCAAAGATAACTAATTGAAATGAAAAATTAAAAAAAAAAAAACAATTTGAAGATTAAAAAGAAAAAACCCCACAACCAGAATAATAAAAACCAATTCGATCGATATTGATTTTTATGGTTATATGTTACAGTATAGCCATTAATCAAGTTTTTTCTTTTTTATTGGTTTGTGTATTGTGCTTTGGTTGTAAATTTTTTTTAATAGTAATATACTTTTTGCCACTTAATGGGTAATATTATTATATGATTATTGTTGATTACGTTGTGAAAAAATTATAAAAGAAAAAATTGTAAATTAATAATAATACTAATAATATCATTATATATTAAGCGGCCAACTTTTAGTAATAAAGGAGATTACCCCTTAACAATGAATTTTAATGGTAAAAAGAAGAGCTAGCTAAAAAGAAACTTTAAACTAATAAATCCAAAGATAACTAATTGAAATAAAAACAAAAAGAAATTGATGTTGAGAAAAAAAAAATAAAAAATTCCCCGACGATCATGATGAGATACCAATTCACCGATCAATAAGTTCTATAGTTATGTGTTAAAGTGTTACC